AATAGAGCAAAAGATGCAGAGGGCGTGTTTGTGTAACTTGAGTCATTCAGCACAGGCGATGCATGATTCTTGTACACTATTTAGGAATAGTTCAAAATGCCAGCTAATAACCTAGTCCTCCCCATTCTCCATTGTTGCCCAAGCCAATGCATACGAACGATTGTCCTGCTCCAGCCCAGCACGCCCATCATTCAACTTTCTTGATCCGATGAGATTTGGCTGAAAAATGCTCAAACACAGAAACATCATCCAATATCAGAAGAATCAAATTGGTAAGTTATTTGTAACCTGCCGGCTAATAGCCCATTCCTTCCATTCACCTTTGTTGTCCAATCCAATTCACACGAACGATTGTCCTGCTCCAGCCCATCATCCCCATCCTTCAACTTCCATGATCCGAGAGGATTTGACTGAAAAACGCTCAAACACAGAAGTATCGCCTAATATGAGAAAAATCATTTTGCAAAGTTATTTGTAAACTGCCAGCTAATAGCCCCTTCATCCCGTTCGCCTTTGTTGTCCAATCCAATGCACACGAACGATTGTCCTGCTCCAGCCCATCATTCCCATCATTCAACTTTCTTGATTCGAACTGACATGGTAGTAAGGCAATGGCTGTTGTTGGATCATCATTATCATGTAAAGTGTAAAATGATACACACCCTTTTGCTGTACGTGAGGATCATTTCTTTTATTTACGTGTACTCATTATCTATCGTGATGGTGATGATAATGATGGGTGATTGTGTGTTTGGGTGGATGGTGTGTGGGGTAATTGAGTGGCCTCATTGTAATAGCAGTAGGGGGGTTAAACTTGGGGACGGTGGCTCCACGACTTGAGACAACGCTTTCTCTTCTCTTTCTCCCTCCTCTACTTTTATCCCCATTCACGACATCCCGATCAAGGTAATGTATTATAAAAGAGTGCTCTTGTTGGCTGTGAGGTGTTAATGTAGTTCTGAACATGCATTGTCAGGGAGTGAGCCGTGTCCAAGTGCTAAGGAATGAGCGTGGTTGGTGGTTGGTGGTTGCCATGGCGATATCGTTGCTATTCCCACTCTATACTTGGTGTCAACAGGTACATTCAGAGTCCAATGTTGCAGCAAACTTGTTCCATTGACGTGTTAGCTTGTATAGAACACGTCCCAATCCAGCATGCTCCACAAAGCAACCATGGTATTTTTCCAATAACTCCTTCACCTCCGTTGGCTCTTCACTCTCTTTTCCTTTAACGCATGCTTCCTTTTCTTTTCCTTCTTCGCGCTCCTTTTTCTTTTTTGTCTCCCCCTCTTGACTCATTGCACAATCTGAATCGGCTCCATCGTACCATCCAAGAAAGTGTGGCGACATCAAACATTTTCAGCAACAAGAGGCTTGCGGTAAGTGGTAGTCTATCTTTGAGGATCTTTATACAAGCGCTGATGTTTTCTTTTCTTACATAGACAAGTCAAAGAGCAATTTGATAATGTGTTCAAGAGCCGACGAATCGACAACAACAAGCACATCTGGACAATTGGGCAGTATGACGCTGAAGGACCAGTCCCAGGCCCAGAAAATAATTTCAATGTCGATCCAAGCAAGCTTAAAACCTGTATCTCTTCCCAAAAAGGCGCTTACACAACCACCAACGTCGAGCCCTTCATTGAATGGTGGAGAGAATATCATCTGAACAGCCCAGCAGACACAGAGGTACTATTGGACTATGCTGGTGAAACCATGGCGCAACACCCTAACGTGCATGAGTTTTGGACCAATTTTGCGGTGGTTGTTCAAGAGTACCATTTCACTGAGCAGGATTTGAAGCCATATTACAATATCAGAGACAGCAAGAAACCACAGTCATTGAACAAGTTGTGTTTTGACAAGTTTGGTTGGGCAAAGCAAAAGGTCCCGGACGCGAATACCATAGCATGGATTGCAACTGTCCCCGCCCAGGCCGCTCCCGTGCTTAATGTGGAGCTCAGAGTAGCAGAATAAGAATTATTGATATTGGGTGACGGATGAGATTGATGCCTGCTGGCGAGTACGAATGATGACGGACGACGACTACGAGGATGGTGGTGGCAATGTAGCAAGATAGCTAGATGAAATAAAGCATTGTTTATTTATTACACGCTTGTTGGAGGTTGCTAGCTTGTGGATTACATACTATTGCTTCGAAGATGGGATAATAAAGGTGGTCCGGTTATCGGTCATGCAAGAAGTACATGGCTTTTGTGATACAATAAGGAGGAGTGGGAAGTGGGATGAGCTTGAGAAGAGAAAAAGTAAAGAGATCTCTCCATTGAGTGTCACGATGAGTGACCCATTCAATATGTATACGTATCTTTTTACATATACAAATTGGTTTATGCAGCTCGACTTTCTTCTACATGCAAATGTTATGCATACCTTGACACACCTTCATCATTGGATGCTGTTTACTTACGTACCTTCACAAAAGGCAATCATCATCATCATCCATTTGTGTAGCAACCTGTCAACGACGTGTCTGTGTAACTACCACGTGACATTTCACTCAGCTCTTCATCTTTCAGTTAATGCAGCCGACACCATCCACTAGGAAAAAGCAACTCCATTACGCTTACAGCATAGGTAAAGCATAAACGTGCCTGTTTCTCCAAACTTTACAATGAAACGTGGGGTTTTTAATAGAGCAATGGGCTCGGCTTGGCCAACAGCACCTTGTGTGAAAGTTTCACGTTCAATGTCGCAACTAGCCCTCCAAAATATTTTTTTGGTCGTCGTCGTCGAAGAGGTCAACCCCCAGATCCAGTTTGGCTGGTGGCGACATTGCGAAATCTGGGATCGCCCACGATGAACTTCATACTTTGACACAAGATTCCTTTGACCCCGACAAGCACGTTGATCTACTAAAGAGCCCACGTTTGATTGTAAGGTTTGGAGATACAGGCACCTTTATGTTTGTAAGCGTGATGCTATATGAGAAGTGGTCTTTGTTTAATGTAAAGTAGTATGACTATAAGAGCAAAAGATGCAGAGGGCGTGTTTGTGTAACTTGAGTCATTCAGCACAGACGATGCATGATTCTTGTACACTATTTAGGAATAGTTCAAAATGCCAGCTAATATCCTTAATCCTCCCATTCTCCATTGTTGTCCAATCCAATGCATACGAACGATTGTCCTGCTCCAGCCTAGCATGCCCATCATTTAACTTTCATGATTCGAGCTAACCTGGTAGTAAGGCAATGGCTGTTGTTGGATCATCATTATCATGTAAAGTGTAAAATGGCACACACCCTTTTACTATACGTGAGGATCATCATTTCTTTTATTTACGTGTACCTATTGTCTATCGTGAGGGTGATGACGACGATGGGTGGATGGTGTGTATAGGGTAATTGATGAGCGGCCTCAGTGTAATAGCAGTAGGGGATTTAAACTGGGGGGCCGGTAGCTCCACGACTTGAGACAACGCTTCTCTTCTTTTTCTCCCACCTTTCCTTATTCCATTCACGACATCTCGATCAAGGTAATGTATTATAAAAAAGTGCTCTTGTTGGCTGTGAGGTGTTAATGTAGTTCTGAACATGCACTGTCAGGGAGTGTGAGTGTGTCCAAGTGCTGAGGAATGAGTGTGGTTGGTGGTTGGTGGTTGCCATGGCGATATTGTTGCTTCCTTTTGCTCGTTGCTATTCCCGCTCTACGCTTGGTGTCAACAGGTACATTCAGAGTCCAATGTTGCAACCGAATTGGTTCCATTGACGCGTCAGCTTGTATAGAGGGCAAGTTTGGTTTCAAGACGTTGGCTGGTTTGGCGTTTTGTTTCGGCTCAACCATACTACACCATGGTTTTCGGTTTCCAGCAACCTAACAACAAAGGTCTTTATGTGAATGAACAAAGACAATGGAAAAGGCGTTTATTGTAATAATGAATGCTGCTATTATTGAATAGGTTCTTGGTCAGGTAGTGCAACTTTGGGCATCATCTCTCATTGGGTTCGACTCCCAGCCTGTACCTTTTGGCCACTTGTTGATATAGCTATTAGAGTACTGTTAGTGATGCTCACGAATGCGTAAAAATATATAAATGATAAGGTGGTAAATTAGCTTCCATGGAAACCCATGTACTGACAAGGATGGCCACGCGAAGGCTTTGCCGTCACCCTCTCCCCTACGGTGCACCAAGCCGGATAACGGGGGCTGCCATTGTAAACAACAGCATCTTCTATAGGTACTGCTCGAGCCAACATGTTCGGTCTGATAAAAGGATAGCATCCCACGCCCACAGAGGCCGACCCATAAGAGCGAAAAGCAATACATGATCCCATATCTACCACAAGGCCACTGAGTAACAGTCTAACTTCCAACGGCTAAGGCAGTAATCCTCAAATGCACTTGATAGGGCCAAGATAGGGCTGACCACACTGTCGCATGTAAATCATAGCTGCCAACGATGCTTTACACAAATGAGCAAGGCACCATCCCGTTCTACCCATAGCAAATAAACATCCGCCATATCAGTAGTTGCTGCCATCAAGCGACCTTTTTGGGTTGGCGTCATCAGAGAGACACATCATGTACTGCAACAAATAAATCCGGCCTTGATGAAATAGCATACGCGAGGATATTGACTTGCAAGAGAACGTCCAAGGTATCCATACAAGTACTTGAGGAATGAGATCCGCCATGGCACCGATAAAAACATTGCTCTGAAGATCCACCGATAAAGAGACGACTTGCAGGTAGCTGATTTCCAAAACCATGGAAACGGTATCCTTGACAACCACAAGGTATAAGATAGAGATCGCTTGCTTGCTTCTGAAACACCCACCCAAATTCAAATGTTGATCTTCGTCTTCCAATTCCATAGGATTCGCCATTGACAGTTGTAAGGAGAGACTTTGATGGCACCAAAGAGCATGCGAAATTATAGCTTGATGGAATGATGGGCCTATAAAACTGCATATCACCAATTTATCTTTGAGGTAATAGTAACAATACTTAGCCGGTTTCATATGAGAATCCACGATATTTGATGCCACCCAGTAATCAGAACACATTTCCTTGCTGTAGAGATGTCGACACAGTGACTAATTCTGATAGCCGTTTCTCCAAGCGATACTTAGTGATGAATGCCATGAGAGAAGTATACACCTTGACAGCACGAAAAGGACACGTAACATTGTTGTTTGTTGCTGATGTGATACATCCATAAGATACGTGCGGTGAAGAGGGCTCTTGAAATCAATTGGCCAATAACGAGAACACCAGAGGATCAAATAAATGTTGTTTACACTAAAGATGTGGGCTCTGTTGCTCATTGCTGCTTCTTGCTTGTAGCTGATATGATCCACCGATAACAGGCATGCGTAGCAGGATATCCATTGAAAGGGTTGTCAACAACTAGGACCACAATAAGACGAGATAAAACTTGGCGACACCAAAAGGTATAGAACTTGTTGCCTTGCCGCTGCAGATGCTTATAAAAGGAAGTGTCCAATAGGTGGTACAGTAACGAAAACCATCGAACGATGTAATAAGGCAAGCTGACACTGAAGGATGCTGTCGACGTTGCTCTTTGACCCTGACATGATTCACCTATGAAGGATGCACGGTAAACAGTTTCCCGAATCCATGGAACGATATTTAGCAATGACAGTTGCATCCATGAATATTCCAAAGGACCAAAATACAAGTAGTTTGCTGAATAGCACACAAACTATAATAAAAGAGGGGGTTGGTTGGGATCAGAGCCAAAAAACGGGTCATCCACTATTTACCAATGAAAGCCATATGAATAAAACCCTGTCGACATCCAATGATAGCTGCATCCATCAAGAATCCAAAGGGAACAAGACAAGTAGCTCGCTGAATAACCCACATGAAAGAGGGTGTTAGTAGGCATTGAAAGAAAGAATGGAACATTATTTACCAATGACAGCTGCATCCATAGAAATCCCAATGCACCAGAAGACAAGAAGCTTGCTGAATAGACCACATGCTAAGATAAAAGCGGAGGTTGGCAGGCGTTGTAGAACGAATGGATCAGCAATTACCAATGATAGCCATACGCACGAAAACATGTCGACATCCAATGACAGCTGCATCCATGATAACCCAAAGAACCAGAAGACAAATGGCTTGCTGAATAGACCACATACTATAATAAAAGAGGAGGTTAGCAGGCGTTGAAGAAACGAACAGATCACCATTTACCAATGATATCCATATGCACGAAAAGATGTTGACATCCAATGACAGCTGCATCCATGATAACCCCAAATGACCACGATACAAGTAGCTTGCTGAATAGTCCGCACACTATAGTAAAAGAGGATGTTGGTAGGCATTGTAGAAAGAACGGATCATCAGTTACCAATGATAGTCATATGCACGCAATCCTGATGATTATCCAAATCCAGCCGGTCCTTTGCAATCGTCCGCTTGTTGATAAGACCCGCTACGGTGGTACTCGGCTTGAAAGCCATGGAACGTTAATACTTTATGGGCATATGCAGTGAGAAGGTTGAATAATATTGATACCACCAAAGATAGCATACTTACATGATGCCGAAGAGCCCTTACAAAGAGAGACAACGAGACAATCCTTGCTGCCCAAGACCACATGCAAATCGAGAAAGCATTGTGCATCGAAAAGCCCAAACCAGATCCTAGCTGCGGAGTGACGTACATATGGCTAAAGAGCGATGTGAATGGCAATCGTTTTTCATTGGAAATCGAATGCAGCTTGACGATGAATGCCTTGAGGAGATGCATAAATGCCCTTGGTAACACCAAAGATGTCAACGCGGACTCTCATCGCTTGTTGATGACATGATCCATCCATAAGACACGTATAGTTATAGAGATCCATCAAAGGAATCGCCAATAACCAGAACCACCAAGAGATAGAAAGGTTGCTGATATCAAAAGATACACAAGTTGTTCCTTGCTGCTGATGTGATCAATCGATAAGAGACCTTCATTTCAGGATGCCCACCGAATTGCCGATAACGAGAAGAACCAGATGATGGAATAAAGCTTGATATGGAACCAACGATATGGATGCTGTTGCTTGTTGCTGATACAATCCACTCATGAAAGACGTGGCTGACATTCTCCAGAGAAATCGCCCGTTGCTTGGTAACCAACCACCCGAGACGCAATAAAGGTTAATGGTCCCTCTAAATAATGGTAGGCGTTTCAGCAAAGCTCTCCAAAAAGCATGAGAGTCATACATACCTGAATCACGCAATCATCACCCGCAGACTTGGAACCAAATAGGCCATCAGGATGTAAAGCAATAATAAAAGCGCACAGCCAAAGAAACGTCATTGTACCAGTGCTCTCCAGTGGATCGACGCGATGAAGTGCATCAATAGAGATACCATCTTCTCTCTAAAGGCAAGGAGATCAATAGCCGTAAAACGATGGAGCCGTGCGAACAGAGGATGCATTTTTAAATCCCTGAGGCCGCAACATGAGTCGCGCTGTCCCCGGGCACAATATGTAGAGCTCCACAGGAAAGTGTAGTACAATGACGTCCTTGACGTGCAGCCTTGATAATAATAGTATCGCCGAAAGAGGATCTGCCACTGTATGGTGTTTGGTAAGTCCACTTGAATCCAACCAATCCCACAATGATGCACTGTACCTTGAGGTATTCCCAATACCATTCCATTGATGCTTGCAAATAACCTTGTATCCATCCGATCCAGTATGTGCTGCTGCTGTTTCATTGTAAGTCTCGTTAATTAACAGGTTTCGCTCTGTAGATCCAATACCACGCATACCATTGAGCCAACCATACAGCATTCTTGCTTTGAGATCCGTATCCTGTTGCTGCCAGAGGTACCATCATCCAATATGTTCACCTACCATAAACGCAATGTGAGATAAGAAGCAAACCCAATCCACACGCTTTTGTTGTCACCATACCCAAAAGAGGCAATGCGAAGACGTCTTGAGAACTCTCATTGTGGACAACTCGGTAAGGAAGGCACACGACGCCCTGAACCATGGTGATCACAAGGAATTGCAACCAAATACACCATCCGAAGGCAATACAATAATCAACCTGCAGTGCCAAGGTATGCCACCATATGTACCATACTCTCATTGGATCCTGAAATTGGCATCATAAGAGATATCCACCTTCTCTCTGTAGGCAAGGAAATCAATAGCCGCACTTGGATGGAGGCCGTGTGCACAGCGGATGCCTTTTCAAATTGGCCTTGCCATCGCATCTTGAGTCACACTGTTTCCGGGCCAAAATTCCCCAGGAGAGCACAGTACTATACAATGACATCCTCGACGTGCTGATTGATTAAAATAATCGCCCAACCAGAGCCTGACCTAATATTTCTTTCGTAAGCACACTTGAAGGGACAAATTCCATAATGGACACTTTACCTTGTGGTATTCCTCAATAGCATCATTGCCTCAAATAAAGCCGTATCTCCATGTCATCCATATTGTCTTGCTGCCGTTTCACTGTAAGTCTCGTTAATTAACAGGTTTCGCTTTGTAAATCCAATACCATCCATGCATACCATTGAGCCAACCATACAGCATTCTTGCTTTGAGATCCGCATCCTGTTGCTGCCAGAGCTACCATCATCCAACATGTTCAACCTACCATAAACGCAATGTGAGATAACAAGTAAAACCAACCCACACGCTTTTGTTGTCAGCATACGCAAAAGAAGCAATGTAAAGACGTCTTGAGAACTCTCATTGTGGACAACTCGGTAAGGAAGATACACGACGCCCTGAACCATGGTGATCACAAGGAATTGCAACCAAATACACCATCCGAAGGCAATACAATAATCAACCTGCAGTGCCAAGGTATGCCACCATATGTACCATACTCTCATTGGATCCTGAAATTGGCATCATAAGAGATATCCACCTTCTCTCTGTAGGCAAGGAAATCAATAGCCGCACTTGGATGGAGGCCGTGTGCACAGCGGATGCATTTTCAAATTGGCCTTGCCATCGCATCTTGAGTCACACTGTTTCCGGGCCAAAATTCCCCAGGAGAGCATAGTACTATACAATGACATCCTTGACGTGCAGCCGTGATCATAATAGTGTCGCCGAAAGAGACTCTGCCACTATATGGTGTTTGATGAGTCCATTTGACTCCAACCAATCCCACAATGAACACTCTTACCTTGTGGTATTTCTCAATAGCATCAATGCATCAAATAAAGCCGTATCTCCACGTCATCCATATTGTCTTGCTGCTGTTTCACTGTAAGTCTCGTTAATTAACAGGTTTTGCTTTGTACATCCAATGCCATCCATGCATACCATTGAGCCAACGTACAGCGTTCTTGCTTTGAGATCCGCATCTTGTTGCTGCCAGACGCATCATCATCCAACATGTTCAACCTACCATAAAAGCAATGTAAGATAACAAGGATAGCATTTGCTTTTCATGTCGACATACCCAAAGTAACACTGTGTTGGGACCTCTCCTTGATGGCAACCATGAAAAGAATACACAGGACACACGATGCCCCCTTTGGATCTTGTATAAACGAGAGAACAGCAAACTACACGTGAACTTTAGTACCTCAATGCCCAACTTGAATAATAAAGTAATGCAGCGATTGAACGTACATGTTGTATTGCAATGGAAGCTTGAGTCATGGGCAGATCGCGAGTTTACTTGTTGTTGAATGTCTGCAACTGGAATGTGTCGCCATTGACCACATGTTCACCCCAATGAATGCTGTACATTGGAAGGAATGCCAGCAATTAACGCGTTGTAGTTTGTAAATGGAGACAAGCTTACCTTTTTGTGAAGTGGAAATGAAGAAGAGTGGCCTCTGTGTTCCTCCTGCTCGCTCCAATTCGTGCACTCCATGCCACCCCGCATGCTACAGCTATTACTGTTTATACGTACCCTCAACAATATCCTATACTCTTAGCTCAATAAGAATGATCACTGCTCAAGACTTCAATTGAGAACAGCCCTCGTAATTAAGCTATTAGGTCTGTGCGCATTGCATCAATCCATGAGTTATTATGCAACTTCACCCCTGAACCAACTTGTGTAACCTACTGTGTAACCCCTACCAAACATGATATCAGCGTATCAACCTTATCTCGCTTTCCACCCTTCAAATTTGCAATCCTCCTTCAATGCAGAAAACAACCAAGTGATCCAATTTTACTCCATCGTCTCACACATTATTACGTATATTATCACTTCTTGTGCAATCTGTTTCCTACTATGCACATAATGGCTGAAAGCTCACCATAGAATACAACACACAATCGATTAAAGCATTGTTAATTAAAAGAGTGATGGTGCAAGCGGGTTGGATGAAGCGATAATATACGTAATAATGTGTGAGATGATGGATTGAAATTGGTGCACTCATGGTCAATGGTGGATGAATGCAGGTGACATGGGATAGCAAAAGTGGTGCGCGCATGGTCATTGAGGATTGATGAGAGACATGTTTATTTGGTTGGTTGCTGGGTTACGTTACTACCATGCCTACTTTTTTGGTGCGCGCGAGGTCGAATTTTGGTGCGCGCGTAGCAATTCCCATTTGAGAAACATGGAGAATACTATGGCGAAAATGTACCAGAAGACCCAGTGAGATATTTCAATAAAAAGAGACAATGAAAGAATACGTTGAGAATCGATATATATTCAAGTGTCGTTTACAGCTACAATTGCAACATGTCTTATATACGTTTCTATGATACTTGTGTAATGGTGCTATAAGGAGACGGGATGTACATATAAGGATCTCGGCTAAACATAGGGTAGTGGATGGCGTATGTATGTGTATGGATGCTGGTGATGGCGTTCTCCTTGTGATGAGGGCGTAAGCGTGGTGGCACCTTTGCTTGTGGTCTTGTGTTTGGTGATGATCCATGGGCGTAATGATACTTGAAATACGACACCCAGCTTGATGAGAAGATCCAGCTTGATGAGATAATGATGATGATCCTTGTATGGATGGCATGGTGGGTGCTGGCCATGAAAGTATTAGGGGTGATGTATCGGTGACAGCCTTCGGGGGGGGTGCTAGTGGTGTCTTGATCTCTGGAGGATCCTCTTCTGGAACTTGGATAACAATGGCTGCTTGAGCTTTTCAGATTTCGATGGTACTTGTGTAAGCACGCCTTATTGAGGATGTCCTCGTGTTTATAAAAGTCTCCACGAGAAGAGTGAGAGCGTAGCAAGAAAAGGAAGCTTGGACGAATCTTGTGTTAGCGTTTGCAAAGGCCCTTCCCTCGAGAAGATGAGACAACGTAGGAAGAAAAGGAAGCTTGGACCAATCTTATGTTAACATTTGCAAAGGCCCTGCTGAACAATGATCCACGAGAAAGTGATAATAACGTTGTCCCACTCAAACTCGGTATCGTCTTTAAGGACTTTTTCTTTGATACCATGCATCTTGGAGGTGTTTCGCATGACTTGGTAGTACGGGTAAAAACGGTGTTTGAGTGCATAGGCATGTATCATGATCGGGTTTGCTGCACTTGGTAAAAGTTCATCATCTTCATCCATGACGAACTATAAAGCGTGTTAATAAAACTTGATTGTAAAAGGATAAAAAGGCCAACTTACCAATAATCTGTGCTCTTGCTTGGCTCGTAATGTAGGTATACAACTTGGCCTGCAAGCCTAGCCCCTACTGTGATGCCGTCCTTTGTGTCTGAAGATGTGATCCCCAACCTTGACATTGAAATGGGCACATCCATCCGTGCCCATCACACTGGGACCTTGATGCATAGTGTACCACGCTTGCAACGCCCGTTTCTTAAAGCAGCATATTGTTGCCGTTCCTGCTTAGTGGAAATCTTGTACCTAGCACTGCAAAATCCGCGTATTCGTACTTCTTATTCCCCGGATGTCTTCCACACCATTTGCCCGGGCATATAATTGTTGTCAGTGGCATTGGGGTTGATGCCGAGTCAGGCAGGGGAAAGGTTTACAATTGAGTTGAATGGAAAAATGGTGATAGAGAAAGATTTGAGAAGTGGGTTTGAAAGGAGGAAACGTTATGGATCATCCTCCTTGCGGGCTGTAGTACACTATGCCGTCTAATCCATCTTTTCGTGTACATTTCGCGAGGTACAGAGCTACATCAAAAGGACATAATATGTATATAAATACATGGTTCATCAAGTGAGATGATTAAGTCTTACATTGTCAAAGAGCCAAATATCATAATGACAACAAGGACAACGGAAGTAGAATAACAATGAAAGACTAACGATGATCATGAATACTAGCACATGGATCACTCACAAAAAGACCTCTCAACCAAGACACTTACCAAGGGATTTTGAAGGTGTTACCAACCAAAGAGTGATATAATGGGAAGAAAGAGTTGTGTGTGAGAAAAGCGATGGGCGGCAACATTCTTCTTGTTTATATTTGCATGTTGGGCGTGGGTATTCTGTGTGTGATGTGCTCAGATAAAAATGGATAACAAAAAGAATACGGTGAGACCTTTGATATGATTGATGCCTTTATTCATGGAGGTTATGGAGGTCTTTTATACTTTTCATGATGGTTGATGTAACAAAACATGTTCCCTTTTTGGACGTAAGCCTTCCTGAATTATCACCGGACACCACACTGTGACCACAAAGAGTGATGAGAATGGTGATAAGCTGATAGATTGATGCTTGATGGGTATCTTTTACATAGAGCCTTAGTGTGATTGAATGTCCATGGGTTAATCACGGTCGTTTTTATTATTGCGTGATGTCAAAGATGACAACAACAGCATGATGTGATAGAGCGTGAATGATACAAAGTGATGAATGCACGCTGAAATCGCCATTATTTCTGAAAAAGATGATTAATCTTGAAGCTTTATGGGATGCTCGTACATGATGTGCCAGGGTATACATATACAGCTGCACATCTTTTGGCACGATTGCACAAAAAGCTGTGGTAAAATGGTATGCAAAGATAATAACATTGAAAGGTCATATCAAAGCATGCGAAAAGATTGTTTTAGAATCATACTCACTTGGGTGCTGATAATGGGCTCTATTCAATACCAATGCTACCATAGGTATTTTTGGTACCTTATACCTCTACAAAGTTGAGCTTGGCTCCGGCGGAGATGTGGTCACCTTCTACCTCCGAACAGCTGTGCTTCACATACCATCGGTCCCCTAAACCAACAAATGATTACCCTTTCATCCAAAATTGCTCAACATTGAGCTCCCAAAAAACATTGCCGCGTTGATCATTCGATTCAGCAGGTGCTCCGCTGCATTATGCAACTCGTTTTATTTCGGTACGATCACTTCTTGACCATTTTTTTCTTGATTTATATGGAAATTTTGATGTTTATGATGTTTCTGAACCAGAAAAAGACATAAGACGGAGATGTGGCCTAATGGATAAGGCGCCAGACTTCGAATCTGGAGATTGTGGGTTCGAGTCCCATCATCTTCGACTTGTAAAGTTGAAAAAACTGATTACTTTTTGTTTTGGATGATGAGAAATGAGATTTTTGGCTTGGCGGGGGAAATCAGCCTAAAGCTATGCTATAGTCAATGCCTTTTCTTTTGCTGGTTGTTATTCTATGTTGTTTTGTGATATTTAGAATGTCAGACTAAGCATTTATGATGGCCATCTGCAAAAAAGTACCATATGGGGGAGATTACAGCATCTACTCAAGGCTATATGTTGTGATGGTCTTACTCTATCACAAACGAGCTCTATCGATTGGAAATAGCATTACTGCAGTCCTAGGTGTGATTCTTATCTTTGCCTAAAAGAAAAAGATGTAGACGTAAAGTGGGTATCGATCCTTGATCGGATGTTTCGCCTTCAAACATTGATTGCACAACTTTGGAAGCCTGTTTGCTGTTGTCGATAATCTCAAATAGCCATGTACTAATGCCATGAATGAATTTAGCTATTTCATGTATAGAGGTAATCTCAATTTAAATGCAAGTAGCATTGACATGAGTCTTTATATACACGTGGCTTCTTCAATGTCCTTGCCTTAATAAGCGGATGTGTGCACAGGTAATTGAGCAACCCCCATTTGGTCATTCTAGTCTACTCAATCCGATTTGCTCGTGCGGAGCAAGGGAACCGGTGTTAATACAGCACAACCCTTAATTGCTTTGGATGATATCCATACATGGTCATACTCCGTGCCTCGCCCCTTTTATATCATTGGTGTTCCTTATCGTTCATCATAGAGGAAATTTCCATGATGGACATGTGCTTGTTTGTTCCTCGCCTTAGACACGCTGCTTGATTTATTCGTACGTAGCTTTATAGATGGACCTGTTTATGAATTGGTATCATGCGTCCACCACCCAGACTCAATCTAAGGGTCCTACTCGATTGCAGCTCCTCATTCATCTCAGCCATTTCCGCTCGCTACATCATCCTATCATGGTACAAAGTCATAGGCGGTGGATTCGATCGATGATGGCATCTATCTTGGTAGCATTAATTCACGTTTGCAGGCACCATAGTAATAAGCGTAATCGAGCACTGCTATAGCAGGGACAAAGGGGTAGTTGCTCTTTTCCCATGACATGTTGTAAAGCTTTTGAGGTACCAAGGACATCAAGCGATGTTCTTATGTAATCATGCAGCAAGATAGCAGTGGTCAAACGGCGGATTATGCGTGCTCGAATGCAAAAACATGCTGTACGCTCCTTTGATAAATAAGCTTCTTTATCTTATGGGTCATTTTACAAAGTTCGCACGCCCACCATGCGCATATAAACAAGGGTGTTGCCCATCATTTTCCTCCTACACATCTCTTTCTTCCATCGGATTACTCTTTGATTGCTTACACTGTCAAGTGCAAAGCCTGTGTGCGTATCATGAATAGCCCTTTTTGCAACTTTGTGAATTAGAGCTGATCTTTAGGCATGGTCATTCATCATCCTTTTTCATTTTTCTGCCGTGATTGTCTTGGTTGTCATTGTGCTAGATGGCTCTTGTAATGATGTAAAGTCAAATCATGCAGTATGGCGGATCACGTACTCATAGGTGCTCATCTCTTTCTACTCCGGAGCTGGAAATCTAAAACGCCAACCATGCAACTTGCATGACGACAATAAAAACATCAATGGCTCTCGTTGCTATGCAACCGTATCAGCAGCGATACATTGGGGCTATGGTAACCAGGTAGTGGTTGGGAGGGAGGAATCCAATATTCCGAAAATCCGGATGCACTTTTTTTGTACTACACAATCTTTTTGGAGCATGACGATCCACTAGATCGTGAAATCGAAAGTATGTGGATCGTCAATCAATGCAAACAAGCACATGGCACCATCTCCGTGGGTGTCGCATAATCAAGTAATGAATAAACCATCATTGCCAAGATGTGGTGTAACGGCAAGATGGTGGCAATTGAAATGGAAACGGCGCTTGGTTGGTTGTGGGGAAATGAGGCGGGTTGTTTAGAGAGGAAATGTGTTTCAAAAAGTGCAGCATCTCCACGTGGAGTATACGACTACCAGGATCAAGGGGCATATTGTACCACCGATTGATCGACCTTGCTGTTTTAGGTCTTTTGACAATGTTGGGAAAGGAGCATGTGTGGATAAGGAATAGTTGCTCATTTCGGCTCGGAGGGTGCTCTCCCGTAAACATAAATCTTTTTTGTTGCTTTTAAATGGCTTTCATCCTCACGGCCTTGTCTCTTTTTTTCTGAGCCATTCTTTTTCTTTAAAGTATCAACAATATCGCATGACCCAATTGTCTACCTTTTCTCAATCTTTTTCGGGCCCATGCGACTATAGTAGCAGCAACAATCCATCGCCATGTGTTTACAAGACGCGCCATTGTACGGGTCAAATGCAATGTCAATATTGTATCGCTGCACAACAACAATCGCACCATCACGATTCGTTATTATCGAACCATAGCAGCAATACCAAACCATGGCGTGTGGCGTTTTTCCCAGAATACCATCAACAACCGCACCATCATCATCCCTATTATCAACAACAACGTTACTCATCCAAGCTTGCCTTTTCAAACATTCAGCATGTCCCACGACGTCTTAGTTCTGGTTCAGCATGCGAGACGTGTCGTCGTCGAAAAACCAAATGCGATGGTGGGCAGCCTTGTGCTTATTGTGCCACCAATCGTATCCAATGTATCCATCGACCTACCAAGAAAAGATCGCATCATCATATCAGCAAGCAAACAGCGGTCATGATGGGATGGGCGGCGGATGATGCAGCTTTAGAAAAGACGACTCGTCATCGCCATCATGATTCATTGCCAACAACAACAACAACAACGACACGTAAGAACCATGGATAGAATAATGGGTAGTAGCTAGCAAGCAGCGGCACGCATGCTAAAAGAAGAAAAAATAGAACACAAGCCGATCGTGAAACAAACCAGTTGTCCATCCTTGAAGGTCATGCCATGGTCCACAAATATCAGAAACATTTCGCCACCAGCTACCCCACCACCTCCTCCAGCTGAGGGCAATATTACTCCAAAGGAGGCAATGCCTAGCGTAACAGGTAAGGGTGTAGATAAAGGAAAGAGTGATTTGTATTGTGATTTAACAAACATGTGGTAGATCAATTATCGTGTAGAACATTTGCAGCGGTAACGACAGCAGCAGTTGACCACCCTTTGAGCTATCCAATCTATCCTCTTGTTCCGACTACTACCCCACCATCATTGGCAAGTCCTGTTACTAGCCATGGAAGTCCATGCTCTCAATGATGACCCCGTATCTCTTTTTTTCTTTTTTCAATCGGCCCATGTTTTCTATGCTTTTATGCTTCCCATCCTTCTTTCTTTTCTCTCTCTCTCTCGCCATCCACTCTTTTTCTTTTTCCTCCTATGAACCTATGTGTATTCTCTCCATTGTATTATGACGCTCCTCTTACGATTGATTAAAGCAATCTATTTCTATCCAGGATCGTACAAGGGGTTGGTGTTGGTGTTGTGAGGACAAGGGGACATGTATCCAATGGCAGGGTTGTCATTTATCGATACTTTCCACGAGAATGTTCCATTATTCTTTTATGTTGCATACCAAAAACAACAGCAACGGCGACATGTACAATGAATGCTCATTCCCACGCCAATTTCATTGTGTGTGTATGTGTGCGGATAAGATAGTAGTAAAATGCCTAATATGTTTTATCAAAGCGATGGGGGTACGACATGATAATGATGATGATGATCTGCTCTAATGCTGCTGGCCATTGGATCTGCAAGAGATCACACGCGTTCTTGTGAAACCGATATCCCCGCATGTTTACGAATGTGATGATTGAGATACTGGCTCTGTTTGTTGTGTGTACATGTCCCATTCCAATTAGCATGGTCTCTTGATTATTGTTGGGCCAACAACAACAGTGACGCACTTGCTCTCATCCTTTTTGAGTAATCAAGGGAAAAACATGTCATGTGTCAAGACTTGCCAAACAAAACGCCCAACCAAGTATACTGTTGATCGTGCATCTCTCTCCCTCTCCCACGTGTAATCATGAAAACAAGGACATCAAAAACATTTCAGGACCCATTTACGCCATCATGCAGCTGATTGAAATCATCGTCAGGTATACCTTTATTACATTTCTACAATCGTAGGTGCATCCTCGTCATCGTCTTCTTCACTATCACTCTCAGGTATTTCCCAATTGAACCTCCTTGAAAGAAACTGCTTGAGGTTGTCGAATTTCTCCATTAGGTCTTGGTTGGTAGCAGGTATGTGCTCCTTGAGGTTCTAGTGGGAAAGGTTGTTTATTAAAAGGTGTTAAAGATGGATGAATACAGCTTACCTTGAGCATCACCGACACAAAGTTGTTTTCTGACAAGATGTCTCTGAAAAAGTCCTCTGGGCATTCATCCAATTGTACTTGAAGAACATCTAGAATGGTACATGTTAGATCATGTCGCTTCCTTTACACATGTACAACTCACCAATAAAATCGACAAAGATATCGGGTCGCTTTTCAACGAGGTCTTGGCAAGAGCAAAAGAGGTGTACGAATTGCTTCCATTGATTGAAACCAGAAAAGTTTTGAGCCATCAATAAACACACAAAGGCAAGCTGCATTTCTCCAAGCATGCTGTGATGATCTAGCAAACCCCTTGTTACCCAAAAGCGTACTCACAAATCGCTGTTCCTTACCATCATGGTACACGCGTTGGAGCAAGTCGTTGGCCAGCCATGACTTGTCAAGACTCCATCGTGTTACCTCCTGACCCGAAGCACCTTTTGGGAAGGATTGCCGTAAATCAAATGCTGTGAATTCCATGCCTTCTTCTTTTTCAATCGTTCTTCCCATCCGCTTGTCCTTGACTTGCATGACATTTTGATCTGATTGAGCACTTGGTAAATGGGAGACCTTGCCATTGTTGGGGAGAATGCGTCGAACCAATCCCGGTGTAACGTATCCCGTTAATTTCTGCCATCGTTGGTAATAGGTGGGTGGATCCAATGGATAAGGTCCCATGTTGCGATCAAAATCTCGTATGTCTGCCAATGCTTGTCAATACATCATCATACGTACACAATCCCCTTCAATACATACTCATCTTGTATCGTTCTACTTGATCAGGATCCATTTCTGTTTCATCGCGAAGATCCTCGGTTTGCGGGTTCCATTCACGTACGAGCACCTATCTGACACGTTAATGCATTGACAACTAAAAGCTTTATGCAATGTATGCATACCTCCTTGGATTCAAAGTAACGAAAGAAACCAGTTCGCATGCCTTGAATACCTTCCCGGCTAATGACTCTACTCACAAAGCAAGTGTTATCAAGAGTCGATTGCAAAGAGTCGATTGCGCCTTACGAGAAATAAACGAAATGGAGACCTGGTGGGATCATTTTGACGCCTTTGAAAAGAGGACCGACTGTCCATGCATTGTAGTCGATGCCAAATTCGAGATTGGGTGGCGCTTCCAAGAAGAGTAGACATGCACCATGCTCAAAGAGTGCATTCGCTGTTTCCTGATCCATTCGGTTGTTGGTTGGGTGTAAAGCGGGAAGGAAAGCAAGACCAACGAAAAATTGTACGAGCGCGTCCTATGATTCTCTGCTCCCAATATGAGGATACTCAAAGATTGTTGTATGTAGACAATACAATATCGCCATTCTAGCATACACAACTATCAATAAAATGGTGGCCTTTGCAGCGTAACCACGTGACATGCATGTATGCTACTTTTCTCGAGTAGGCAGTGAGGGTGGACTGGTTGCTATGGCTGTTGCCAGGTTGAAAGGCCGCCTCGTTTCTCTTTTAGTAACACAAGATTTATGCAACAACTGTAGTTTTGATGTTTCCAAACGTATCCATTAGGTCATTGGTCACTCAACGGGTATCAATCAGCACACAAATAGTAGTAGGTGATGCACATGCACATAGTTTTCTTTTTTCTTCTTCTTCAGTCTAAGATCAAGGATATGCGAACTAGTGGTGGTGGAGTATATATATAAAGAGAAATGTACAAATGAAGAGCGAGTGGTGGTATCGGTATATATAGGGAATAATAGTGTAGTGGTATTATCATCATCATCAGGCGCCTACGGTTTTTGTCGAGGACAACACGCCACCCACCCATCCAGTGGCCAGCTTATAAACCTTTGTCGATCCGTTGACGCATGAATATCGCAAAGCGACGACACGTTGTTGCTGTTGTTGTTGTTTAGTAGGCTGGATAGCAAAGGCTTCGATAGCAAACATGGCAGTCCCATCCTCGGATGAAGTCATTGGCTGTGTGGACGAAGAGGAGGATGGTTCAGCAGCATGAGCAGCTGCCGTATCGTAATGTTGTTGGCCACTTGCGACACTTGCTGGTGTAGCTGATGAGTTGATTTGAATTGAATTGGACCATATCCTTGCTTGTTGTTGATTATGATTGTGGAAATGATTTGACAGTAGTGGTAATGAGAGTCGCTTGAGTTTGCTGGCCCAGCTATTATCACTCAATACGCTACTTGTATGTTCACTTGTCCCACCGGATGTCATTTGTGATGAAGCTCGTCTTGCTTGCTGATGATGCTGATGATGGTGTTTTTCTTTGAGCTGACCAGGATCTTCTCGATAATTACGCAATGTAAGTACACACAAGAGCCGTGTTCGAGATTCGTGCCGATAGGTGATGCCCAACAATTCACAAGCAGAACGCACCAACAAGATCATTTCATATTCATCCTGATGAGGAGTGCTATGATGGGGTGGTGATGGTAACGGTATCGAGGGAGTAGGCATATCATTGGATGCATCGGATGAAACTGCTGTCGTTGATGATACGGCACGTACATTGCATTCAATGGTGTAATAATTGACCTGATCTTTGGCAGCCTTTTTGTAAAAATGTGAGAAATGAAGGGCTGATGTGGATCGGCGGATTGTTTGTTTGGCGGTGGTGGATAATCCAGTGGCGGTGGTGATGCTGCTGTTGCTATTGCCACGTTTAAACTTTTGGAGAAAATGTTGAACAAGGGGTGGTTTCATGCTGGCATTGGCAACAGGGCGTAAGCGTACTTGGTTGATGATGACCCGAATCTCCTTGTATAAATCAGCACGCATCAACTCCTTTGTACGTAAACTTTCTTCGAGGCTTGGCGAATGTTGCATGGCGCCAGTGAAATAAATGGATGCGTTGATAGGGTGATACATGACCGTTTTGCGTATCGTAGGCAACATGCCACTGCGCCCACGTTCTTCCATATCACGTAAATATTGACGTCGTAATCGTTCACGATCCACCCGCACTCGTGTTGTATCTTCCACAGCAGCATCGATTTGTTCAAAAGGGGATGGGAGTGCACCATGGTTGCTGAGCCACGCATCATCATCGAGGACTTGTCGTACACCCAATCGACGACGCCGGTCCAATGTAAGACATTTGCGGATGGTACGTTGCAAATCGTCACTCAGGTGATCAGGCATCGGGTAGTTGGCACCCACCACATCCTTTTTTAGTTCGCCCACAGCTAAATTATACAAATGTGTAAACAATGGAACACGTGAACACTGTATTATTAACTTACTACGTGCATGTCCAAACGTCTCACTGCCCACCGTCATGCGATACAATAGAATCCCCAGGCACCAGCAATCCACTTCAGGTCCCACATACTTTTGACCCGTAATAATCTCTGGACTGTAATAAAGCATGGAGCCTATACGACATCCAAAGTCAATAAAGGATGATTTCATATCAACAGCAACAATAAGAACATACCACAGATCGTCTTTAGTCGCTGCAACCCAAACCGATTTCCCAAACCAAAATCAGCCAATCGTACTTGACCATCCGGCATCAACAAAACATTGGGTGCCTAAAAAGATCATCATCCCTTCTTTTTAGCCATCCATCATCACCCTACAGCCTTCGTATTTAATCCTACCTTGAGATCTCGATGCACGACGTATTGACTATGGCAATAATCCACGGCGGCAACGATTTGACGAAAAATGTGGCGTGCTTCATCTTCCTTTAATGCGCCTCGATTATTTGATTGTTGTTGAAGATATTCATCCAAATTGACGCCTCGTACGTATTCCATGACCAGGAATAATGAATCAGCTGTTTCGAATGTTTCATACAAGTGTACAACGTTGGGATGATCAAGGGACTCCATGAGTGTAATTTCACGCACCAATCGAGATAGAATTCGGTACCCATGCAATCGCTTATCAATGATCTGTCAATCCAATGAATGAGTAAATGAATGAATAAATCTCGGAATGTGCAAATTGGGTATTACCTTTACAGCATATTTGTCCCCTGTTTGATAATGCTGAGCAAGCATCACTTTGCTAAATTTGCCATGTCCCAACTGTTCTAGAAACACATATTCGCCAATCCCATCCAATGCATAATCTGGGTTAGGTGCCAATGGTGCTGCTGCTGGTTGTTGTGATGAGGATGATGGTTGTTGCTGCTGGTTGTTGTTGTTGTTGGTAACAGGAACAGGAGAAGCAGCAGGAGGAGCAGCACCTGGTTGTCTATGTTGTTTTTGCCCTGAGGATAATGATAAAGGATGTCGTTGTTTGGTTGCAGAGTCAACGTTGGTATCGATACTGGTCCGTGCGGATACTAGAACGGCGGCAGCTGAACCACTCGTGGTGTGCATGTCGTCAGTCTTGGTAGAGGATCGCCGCCATTTACTTCGGAATTGATCAGCAACGTGTCGAAGTGGCATTGGAGGCAATGGTGGCGTAATGGGTGGGTTGAAAGAGAATCAACAAAGAGTTCAGGAGGTGGTGGAGTTGGTGGCGAAAATGAAAAAGAGATACCAGCAGTAAACGAGGGCGGCGGTAAATGGGAGGAAAGGCAAAGATAATGTGAGAGAGCGTGATGTATGTATGCGAGGATGCGTATGCGTGCGTTATGTATGTATGTATATATATATATGTAAATGTATATGCGTTGTGCGTGTGTGTGAACAAGATGTGCGTTCAATGGTGAAAAGGGAATAAAGAAAAAGAGAAACAAATGTTGTGCATCCACCTATAAAAGGAACAACCATCGTACCTGCCATACCTAGTAAAAAGCATTATCTTGTTTTGCCACTCTCATCATCCACCCACCCACACCCACACATAAACAGCTAATTGCTTTCAATGTTGAAAAACGTCGGGATTGGGTCACTTGTTTATTGGTGTTTTCAAAATACAAGCAACTTGATTATTTAGGGTAAGAGTGAATAGCACGTGGATCATGCAAGCACAGGCTTGTTTGATGCGAGATGTTACTTTTTTACAAAAAAGAGCACGAGGGCAATAATACGGAGCCATGGAGAGGTTTTAAGAGAGAGTATAAGTATAGAAATGAGCCATGATGATAATGATGATAAGGAGATAGAATATTGGGGGGAGGGGGTAAGTAAGAAAATGAATAAAGACCGTGATGATGATGATGATGCGTGGTGCCTAGACGCATGCGTCTGCAAGCAAGTACAGCAAAAAACGTTGTTGTCGTGATCAAAGAGAGAGAGTGTGGATGACCTTTTTTATATAGGATTGTTCTCCTTTTCTTGTTCTCCTTGCTGTCGATCATATTACTGCTGCACATATCAAAAGAAGTCGACATCCTCTTCTCCGCCTACAAAGAAACCTGCAAAACCATTCTTGGCAAATTTGTTCTCGAGATAGCCTTCATTTTCATTCTCCTCTTCACGACGACGATCCATCTTTTTGCCTGTCAATGCACCGAGTCCCTTTAAATAATCAACAAGACGACGTTGACTGCCAGCTTTAGCCAAATCAAGCGGAGTCCCCACTTTACGAGGCACATAGGCATTCACATCGCATCCACACCGTTCCACCAAGAGGGTCACCACCTCCAATCGACCATGACGTGCAGCCCAATGCAACGGCAATTCGCCTCGATGATCAGGCTGATTCACTGGAATCTGACACGACCGAGCTAGAAACGACACAAGGTCTGTATGACCCGACGCGCATGCATAATGCAATACCGTTGCACCTGTCCCCATGTGTGAATGCATATTTTTACCATGACAACAACATGATGTTACCTTGACTATCTTCTTCCAAGTTGAGAGCACCTTGAGTGACATTGACGATATACTCGACCACAGCAGCATGGCAATGTTCGGCTGCAACATGAAGGGCCGTCTTGTTTTTGATACCAGCACCACGCGCAGCTACTAGATCACCACCTGCTTGCACCAGCTTTTGTAATCCGGTCAACCAGCCCACTTCAGCAGCCAAATAACAAGGCGTGACCTTGTCATCTTCAATTTGACTCAACGTCATCACATTGGGATTAGCACCTTGTTGTAACAGCAAATCTAACGATCCAGGTGCCTTGGTCACAATCAATGCATGAATCATCCCATATCCATATTTGACAGCATTTGCAGATCCCGATTGCTTGGATGTATTAGGCGATCCCCCTCTCCGTAAAAAGTTGCTATAGTAGTACATGTACATGCATACATGAGTAAAAAAAGTGTTACATACATTGCTTACATACCTGATGATCTTTTCCACGGTTGCATCGCTTCCTTTACTCTTGGCAATGGTATCCCATAATCCATCAGAGCCACCAAATATCAATGGATCGACACGCCGTTGTTGGATAAGGGAGGCACCTGTATACCCATTTGTGGCAGTGCTAGAGCGTACAGGTGTCATGGGTACTGAATGCACTGTATTTGGAGACATGGTGGTTGTGGTATTGGTAGTGGTGGATGGGGTTGGTAGGTTTACAGGTTGTTGTTGTTGTTGCCATGATTGTTTTTTACGTGCTTTGTCTCCTCCTGCGGATGATGATGATGACGATGAAGACGCTGACGATGCTGAGGATGGTACCGATGATACCGTTGACACTGTTGATTTTGTACCTTGGCTGGCAATAGTATTAGCACCTTCAGTACTTGATGATTGTGTGCTATGTACGCTGGCTGCCGTTGAGTTTTGGCGTACTCGATAAACTACTGCAGGCTGATATGGTGGAACATCCCCAAATGTACGTTGTGGAGCATCCCCAAATGCACGTTGTGGATGATCTACGCAAGATGGAAGGGTTGCTGGTCCTGGGATCGGGCTCTTTGCCATACGTGCTAGCTCAGCTGCATCATAAGGTGGAGGGCAAAATAGAGTGATGCTTGCTGTTTTATTATTATTGTTGTTGGTAGTGGTAGTGGTGGTGGCTGTTGTTGAAGACGATGGATCTTGTGGTTCTTCTGGAATGGGTTGTGGGCTTGTAGGTGTTAATGGAAATGCCCCAACACCAGCGGTAGAGGTTGCATGTGAAGGTTGTTGTTGTTGTTGTTGTTGTTCAGATGATGTTCGAGAGTCGATGGATAAACTCCTTCGAGGTCGTTGCTCTTCTTGTTGTTGTCTATGATGCTCGTACTTGCGTTTAAAAAATTGCATCTCTCTCACAGCCTTTTCATATCGACGTTGATGCTCCTGAGATGCATGTCGTAATTCATCATTTTCGTGTTCCAAAAGCTCGGATCGTTGTTGTAACATGGATACAAGTCGCTCATGATCAGTGAGTAGCCGTTTAATTTCAACTCGCATTGCATGTCGTAGCTCTGTTTGTTCTACTTGCTGCAGCAAGTCATTGATCATCTCCTTTGGGCTGCGAAAAAGCCTTTCTTCTTTTTCAGGCGGAAGCATGCTCTCATGTCGTTTGGTCATGTTTGTTGCAACATTGATGCTTTCCAGTGAGGATGATTCAGATACCGATGATGGGGTCATTGAATGATGTTATCGATCCCTTTTGGTGATGTAAAAAAGAGAGGTGAATAAAAGAGAGACAAAAGGTGCTGTTGCTCTGGGGCATGGGTGTTGATTCTTTATATACACACCCATATCATGTCCACACACACACACACACACTTCCCTAGATAAGGGTTGAGCAGATGGTGCTGCACTTTCAGGTACAAGAATAAACGTACTACATTCCCTGCCCTTCTTCTCTCCATCATACACTCACACACACGTTTGCTTACTCCTTTTGCACCCGCCAAATGATTTCAAGGGTCCTCGCTTTATCATCTTTTTATCAAAGCTCTTGCGTAAATTTTTGGGAGGATCGGCAGATTTACCATAAAACTGTCAGCCTAGAAGCATCAAAACGACACGACCAGTGATGAATGAAGTTGCTCTATGTCTTTGGTGCTATCAAAGTAAAAAGTTGAAAATGCACATGTGTACACTGCGACTCGTGCCATTGATGACATCGCGTGCGCAACGTATTATATGTGGGTTTTTAGCATGCCACTATTTGTCTAGTTGGCATTATCCATGCTCATTCATCTCTTGACGTTTTCCTTTTTAACCCCGATTTCCTTGCTCTTTGTTCCTTTGTGTGCTCTCCTATTCCATTTTCTCTCATTAGCCTCTGGATGATTTGTGGTGGGGGTATTCATTGTACACACCTTTGTCTCTATGCTTATGGTCATCATCCCCTTGGAGAAGCTATACACCCTCCCCTCTTTGTACAGTGAAGGCTCAGCCCAATTGTTTCATCCAACATCCTCCTCCCCCTCTTTGGCGCATATAAAACGAGTAACAATGAGCTACCATGGAACAGTATACAGTGGTGAGAAATGGGGACTGTAATGCTCCTTCTTGCTCGCCAATCCCCCTTCGCAATAATTATCCTCCCTTGTAGGTAATCATTGTGTATCCATTTTAGGGTTACCATGCAAATGGGCATCCACAACAAGAACAAAAATGAAAACTTTTGCCTCCTGGAGAGAGTGACCACCATCCCTGTTAGATACAGACGTGTCTTATGATGGTTCACATAGGACCACAAAGTAACTCCTCATGCTCAATACCCCATCCAAACGCAGTGCCAACAAGTCGGATGGAAGAAAAAGAGCGCAGGAGGCATCCTTTTGATGATGTTTCTCAAGTAGTAAATGAGACAACAACATGGGTGTTCAACAACACACGATGCATAAATATACATCACTTTTTCCAACGATAGTCATATTGATGACGTCCGAACGTATATGTCATATAGCAATATGCGAGCTTTTCTTTTTTAGCCTTGCATGAAAAAGGAAGAATATGGTTTCTCCAGAATGTTTCCTTACGTGATTGACACATTTATGCATTAGGTTACACACATTCATGCACCGTCAACATACTCCTTTCTTTTATTCAACGCCTTCTCCTCCTATTGCACCAGCAGCAGCATAGCAGTAGCATGATGGTGGTGCCCTTTATCATCGCCTTAATAGGGACATGTATATAAAAAAGTAGCCTCCACCAGGAGCGATAAAGGGAAATAGATGAAAAAAAGGATCATACATGATAACATCACATTCGCTCCTGCTCTTGCTCTCTCCTTTTGCTTTTAGTGCCATGATTGCCAGTGATGTCTGCCACCGAGCAACAAAAAAATGTCCGCATTGGACAAGACAACATTGTCGCGGATAAACATGTTCAAAAGCGAGGACCAAAAATGCTTGTTCAACAACACAAGGCATACACAAAGTATCTGGTTACCATTGAGCAACCTCTTTAAGAAGAACATCACAGCCATCATCACATTCATTCGTATGGTAAGCCTGCGAGGCTGAAAACCTACATCCCCTGAGACACCTTGCATCCAAACAACATGCACCTACATTTGGAAGCAGTTGCTATGGTAAACAAGGCCTCTTGCATAAATGCATTCATTTTTCAGTCCATGCATTTTATTGCCGCTTATAAACGTAGCTTGGCTGTACATAGCATTCTATTGCAGCTGATTCGAGTAACATGAAACATTGTTCTTGCGGTGTTTGGATGGTGCCTGATATTTTGTTGTTAGCCCATTCTTCCAATCGGGCGTTTCTACAACTTTCCTTTCGATGTAGCAGCTATGAGCACATGATGCTGGTCACGTTGCCTTCCTTTCAGACATTACAAACGTATACAAACGTGTATCATCATGCATGGAATCCTTTGCAGAAATCCATCGACTATCATTTCGTTCGCAAGACGTGTTGCTGTCATCCTCGAGATTCTCATTTTGTTACTCTAAGTGATGCCATACGATAAAAAAGAAAGCCGTAAGCATAGCGCAAACGACCATTGCTACTTGTGCGGATCGAACACACGACTTTTGCTTTACGAGAGCAACACTCTGCCACTGAGTTAAAGTGGCCATGACAAGCCGTTTGGGAATAGAAACAAGGCCCCCGGGCCTTCCTCTTTTGTGTTGGTGTTGTAGTAGTAGTAGTAGTAGTGGTGTTACTACGCCAAAGAGTGAGCGTACAAGAATAAAAACAAGCATCATCATATACGTTGGTGAAAACGGCATCATTTTATGGGAGCTCAGTGTCTAGCAATTTTAGGTCAAAAGCAATCATTGTTGGTCGGGGATGCTACATGGACCCACACACTTGAGAGTTACATAAAACCATCATTGTTGGTATGAGAATGGATTATTACAAAATGAAAAGAAAGGACGTCAAGTGAGGGATTTATATAAGAAAGCAAATTAGTGGTTCAAGTGCATGGTGGTTGTGGTTGTGGGTGAAGGTAAATATGTATAAAGTTGATGAATGGGGATGAAGAAATGCATTAATGGGGTTGCTCGTTCGAAAGCTTGCTAAGGGATCGGGCATGCTGATGCATCGAAGCGTCTTGTCGTAATGAAGCATCCTTGATAGGGAGTGGTGGTGGTGGAATATCAACAGCAGAGTCTAATGGTTCGGTATAATTGACTGGAAAGATGCCCTTGAGCGTTTTCCCATCGGTTGTGGTAAGTTCGCCTAGCCACCATCCTTGATTGATTTCTTCAAGCACGGTGATAATGTCACCCGATGTAAACGATAAATCCTCAGGATGCTCCCCATTGAAATCATATAAAGCCTTACGACGGGTGTTTGCTAGAATGCTTGATACTTTGGCTATTCACAATATGAGCCTAACATCCTCATCCACACACACCATGAGATGATACTTACACATTTTCCTTTCACGCTCATCATGGCTCTCCATGGAAGCTGCTGCCGATTCTTCGCTACTTGGTTCATAAGAATGCTCGGATACACAAGGTCGTTTTGATTCATTTCCTTCAATGATGGATGGAGTATATGCAGAGCTGGCGATAGAAGATGGTTTGGGGTGTTGGGTAGCTGTAGTTGTAGTTGCAGTAGTGTTGTTGTTATGTTGGTCGGTATGAGATGGTGGTAAAAGAGAATTGGTTGGCATTGTTGGATTCGCACTTGTTGTGGATGATCGTTCATAAGCCGAATCAGTTGATATACGTTTGGTGTCTTGTATTGCTGGCATGGGTGGGGGTGGTGCTTGCAAGATGTCTTGATTTCCTCGTTCATCCTCTTCCTCATCATCATCCTCAGCACCATCAGGCCATCTTGATTGAACATCCTTCAACATCTCGACGGCTTTCATGTAACAATCAAGCTGAGCATCAAGAAAGTTCTTTAGAGCGACACGATGTTGTTCCTAATGCATCATCCTTCGATAAGCATCCTAAAGAGGTATCATAAAGCACACACACACTCATACCTTGTATTCATCCAATTGCACCATTTGACGTAGTAATTCGCTTTCGGTTTCCTCATATTTGATTCTAGATTGTTGTAACAATTGTTCTAGCTGTGGCTTCTCCTTTTTGGCCTTTTGCAAACGGCTGAGATTGGCAGCATAATCGAGTCGTCGCATTTCCAATTTCCTGCGAATCTCGAGATAATCCTTGTAGCATTCTCGGCTGTCTCGGAGCAATCGAAGGTAATTGTTGTTGAGCTGCTCTGTCAAAATATCCATGTGGCCAGAGATTTGAGTTTCGGCATGACCCAGGCTAATCAATGAAGTTGCTATGATACACACACGTGAGCATTCTCTCTCACAGTAGCAGTAGAATGAATGAATGAATGAATGGATTCTCCTTTTCATACCTAGCTTGGGAGAGTTTTCTGCAATCTCTTCACCATGACGTATCCACGAATCGCCGATCGCTTCCAATGGACGACATTTCAGACGTGGGTCTTGCACTGACGTTTTGCGTTTGGACAATTGCGCGTAGGAAAGCTTGACACTTTGGTACATGCGTTCGAACCCATCGTGCCATTGCTCTGTTTGGTCTTCGAGTTGTTGAATGTCCTCGGTTTGCAAAGTAGGTTTGGCAGCACCCAACCGCTCACCAGTCCACTAGATGAGAAACCCCCCCATTGAGTCAATGTTAAAGTCTATAAACCTTTTGTGTGTGTGTTGTGTATGTTTGTTGTTTCCTACCTGTTTAAAACGGCCCAAATTTTTGAGCATAAGGTGTATGTATGTGCAGTATGTGTGTTAAAGAGGAAAGGGATCTGCAAACGGAAAGAAGCCGACTGTATATCGGAGAACAAGGATCGGCTTTTTTTTTTGTAATGTGCTGTGTGTGTGTGTGTGCGCACTTGAAAGATCAACGTGGACGATTGCTTTTTGGCTGGAACAATCAACCCATTATCCATGCAATCATTCATTTTAGCGAGTTAATTAGGAAAAGCCCTTTGGTCATTATCATCATCATCCTTATCGCCCCATTGCTTGCTACTGCTTCATCACATCACACGCATGAATAAGCCATGTGAGATATAATGTTATTGAGTACAATATGGATATCAATTCTCATGTGCATTGAATCTTGTGGTCATGAAAAAAGGGCGCTGATGTTGCATCATTGGTTCTAGCTACTAGCTGATTGCGGCCAATTGAGAAACACGTGTTGGATAATCCTCAAATAGAAGCAGCAGCTGGAGGAATTCCCGAGCTGCAGGCACATACGTATTGATTTATGCCATGTTGATTGTGTCCTTCTTGGCAATATCCATACACTTGTTTTTCTTTATATAAGCCCTCTCTTATTATTAGATCATGGCACGAGCCAATTCCTCTTGCTCAACTTTGATGTCATCCTCTTCCTTTTGAGTTGTCGGTTAAATGTACGGAGCAGCCTCATCATCAAGTTTATAATGTTCCTCAACGAGTAGCAGATGCATAAAGCATTCGTTGCTCTTCATCTTCTTTAAAGACCCGTTGCTATAGTAACAGATGATGGTTGCTATGATGTTGCTACTGCTGTTGTTGCGGATGTTTCCTTCCGAAGAAGCAAAGATGATCATTACTGACAAATGGATGAATGAATAAGAGTCAAGGGGTATACAATATGGAAAATGGTATTTATGCAAAAGAAGACGAAGCCTTTGTTGACCAAAGAAGAAGATGATGAAACGCGAAAGAAGGTTGACTTGGGCGTTGTTGTCGTCGATGCCCGGTTGTCGGGGTTTGGTATGAGAGGTGGTGCAGCTACAAGGCGACGAGCGGCCGTATTACTTGCTCTTTCTGCCTATACGCACTAGAACGCTCACAATGGCTCCCTCAACGCTCTTCCGTTCGGAAGAGATGTCACTTATACAACTGTATATTCCTGTTGAGGTCGCCCAACCCTGCGTCGCAGAATTGGGTGAAATCGGCAAGGTGCAGTTTAGAGATGTAAGTTTTCCCTTCCATGACACACACGCACACACTACAACAGATGTCTCCTTGCTTATTCAACTTTTTAACACGACGTCTTTATTGAAATGTATAGTTGAATCCCGAAGTCAATGCCTTTCAACGATCGTTTGTGTCTGAAATTAGACGCCTGGACGAAATGGAGCGCCTTTGTCGTATGTAGTCTATCGGGTTGGATTGTAAGGCTGAAACGCGGAAACACCTCCTTGCTGACGCTTCACACTTTACAGGATTCTTCAACACACAAATCGAAAAGGCGGATATACCCATGCGCCCTTTGACAGCTGCTGCTTACAGTTCACGTGCACGTTCTGCTCAAGAAGTCGATGATTTGGAGGAGAAGCTCAAGGAGCATGAGAGTCGTATCCTGCAAATGAATGGTTCCTATGAAACACTTCAACGCCGCTATCTTCAGTTGACTGAGCTGTGTCATGTCTTGCGTGAATCTGGTGGTTTCTTTGAACAGGTAGGCTCTCTATCGATCCTTCAACATACATGAGCCCATCCATTTACTGATAGCCTTATTCAATTTTTGACTATTAGGCCGAGTCGAGACAAGATACGATTCGTAACTCTATGGATGAAGGTGATGCATCAACCCCGCTCTTGGAACATGATGTCGAACAACAAACACACCAAGATGATATGAATCGTCTCAACCTCGGCTATGTCACCGGTGTCATTTCACGTCAACGTATGCAAACATTTGAACGTGTCTTGTGGCGTTCGTTGCGTGGCAACCTTTACATGAATTCCGCCGAGATTGATGAACCTATTGTGGACCCTGATTCCGATGAAGTGGTGGAAAAGAACGTCTTTGCCATCTTTGCTCATGGTCGTGAAATCATCAACAAGATTCGCAAGATCTCTCAAAGCTTGGGTGCTACCTTGTACAGCGTGGATGATTCAGCTGATAAGCGTCGTGATGCTTTGCTTGATGTGACATCGCGTATCGAGGACTTGAACAATGTACGTGGTATTGATCTTGTTGCCATAGACGAAGACGACGACCCTCCTCACACACACATACTCTATTTAGGTCTTGTCCAATACCAGCCAAACGCGTCGCACCGAGTTGCTCAAGATTGCGGAGAACTTGACTTCATGGACAACGGTTGTTCGCAAGGAAAAAGCCATATACCACACCATGAACCTTTTCAACTATGATGTCAATCGCAAATGCTTGATTGCAGAAGGCTGGTGTCCAAAGAATGATATTCCTATCATCCAACACGCTCTCAAGAACGCTACGGTGGGTGTCTTTTTTTTGCATGAATCATTCAACAGGGGTCGACTCATTATTGTACGTAATAGGAATCATCTGGCACCAACTTGCCTTCTATCCTCACAGAATTGGTCACCAAAAAGACCCCACCTACGTATCATCGTACAAACAAGTTCACGGAGGGCTTCCAAAATGTCATTGATGCCTATGGTATTGCACGCTATCGCGAAGTCAACCCTGGTCTTTTCACCATCATTTCCTTCCCTTTCTTGTTTGCCATCATGTTTGGTGATGTTGGTCATGGTTTCTTGATGTTTTTGTTTGCATTGTACATGGTAATCAACGAGAAGAAGCTTGCCAATGTCAAGGATGAGGTATGGATGTCTTTTTCAAAAAGCACAGTGACGTGTGTTAATCGTCGTATAGATCTTTAGCATGTTCTTTAGCGGTCGCTACATGGTGCTTCTTATGGGTCTCTTTTCTATCTACGTGGGCTTCATTTACAATGACATGTTTTCGCTTTCGTTGGATCTCTTCAAATCTGGCTTTGATTGGCCCACTGAATACAATTCCACTGATACTATTGACGCCACTCCCAATGGCGACGTGTATCCATTTGGCCTTGATCCGGTATGTATAATCAATATGGGTTTACGTGAATATACTCAATCAGAACCCAATAGTCATGGCACGGATCAGAGAACTTTTTGCTCTTCACCAACTCTTACAAGATGAAGCAAGCCATCATCATTGGTGTTATCCATGTTTGTATCGCTTTTTTTATTGCAATGCTTTTTACCCAATGCTAATCTATCTTGCCTTGTAGATGACCTTTGGTATCTGCTTGCAAGTCTACAACCACGTCAACTTTAAGAACAAGATGTTCATTTGGCTCGAATTTGTGCCCCAAATTTTGTTCATGTCTTCCATCTTTGGCTATCTCACATTCTGTATCTTGTACAAGTGGAGCGTTGACTGGTGGGCACTTGACGATGAAGGCAATCACATTCACAACCCCCCTCCCAACTTGCTCAACATGTTGATTTACATGTTCCTTTCACCTGGCAATGTCAATCCTGAGGACCAACTTTACCCTGGTCAGGTAAGTTTTGTCACAATAGAGTCATTGCGTATCTTGGCTAATCTCTTTTCCTCTCTATCAGGGTCCCATCCAAGCCGTTTTACTCTTGATTGCAGTCGTTTGTGTCCCATGGATGTGGTTTGCCAAGCCTTATTATCTCAAGGTCCAACACAATAAGCATCGCTATCACTCGGTTGCCGAAGATGAAAACGTTGCCTATGATGAAGAGCAAAACGGCCATGCTGGTGGCGGTTCAGCTGATGCTGACGATGATGAAGAAGAGGAAGAGGTATGGCGTGTAAGGTGGTGTATCATTGATTGGATGCTGATATCAAGGTCTTTTTTTTGTAGTTTGAATTTTCTGAAGTGATGATTCACCAAACTATTCATACCATTGAGTTTTGTCTCAACTGTATCTCCAACACTGCTTCATACCTCCGTCTTTGGGCCTTGTCCCTTGCTCACGCACGTAAGTGTTAATCATTTTTTGATTGTCGTTATGGCTCAATACTGATGATGATATTATAGAGCTGTCAAGCGTCTTGTGGGATATGACATTCAAGATCTGGTTCAGCTTTACCGGTCCAATTGCCGTGATTGGCATCTTTGTTGGCTTTGCCATGTGGTTTGTCCTTACTATTTTCATTTTGCTCGGCATGGAGGGTCTTTCAGCATTCTTGCACACCCTTCGTTTGCATTGGTAAGTCATTTTATAAAGGACTTTGAGAGTGTACAGTAAGCTAATCTATCTCTACTTATCAGGGTCGAATTTGATGGCAAATTCTATATGGCTGATGGTTACAAATTTGAGCCTTTCACATTCAGTACTGTGTTGGATGGCAAGAGCGAGTAAAGTAAAAATCAATCAATAAACAACGCCACACATGTGCTTTTTATCTGTACAATCATACATTTTTAATGTTTGGATCGACCTTTTTCTTTTATATAGCGTATGGAGTAAATGGTAATGAATGAATGCTATCTATATTTGAGCAAAACCAAAACGAGAGCATTTGCGCATGGGCGTTTCGAAAAGAGAACCAGTGGAGCGTAGGATTTGATGAGTGAAAGGATTGAAGGTGCCAGTATAGCTGTGAGTGGGTGTTGCATTGGTGAGAAATTCCAAAGCGCTGATACCAGCATCCTCGTCATTGTTGGTGTCTTCATTGTCTTGAATATCCTTGGTTGTATTTGGTTCACCGCCATCATCCTCATTATCATCATGCAGAGCACTGACACCGACAGGCATGTCCTCTTGATCCGTTGTTGTCCTTGATAATGAGCACACCTCATTTAATGCATCACCAAGTACGAATCCAATCAAGCCATCGAGATAGAAAGGTGAATTGTTGCCGTTAACCATACCCTCACCGTTGCCGACGACTGTAACATCATTCTGCTCAGGTAAAGTGGATGGTGTAGCAGGCCGTGATCCATTGCTGCTACTTTCACTCTTCATCTGTTCTTTTCGCTTTTTCTTTTCAATCTTGCGCTTAGCCGCTGCGGATGCTTGTTGCTGTTGCTGTTGTTGCTTTTGTGCTGCTGCAGCTGCCACGGCGACAGCTAATGGTGGACCAAAGTTGTCAGGTGTCAATGATCGTTCTGGTAAACCACCCGATTTCATCACTGGTGTCGAGGGTCCACTACCACCCGCCTTGGCCCAAGATGCTGTTGCTGGAAGTGCAGGTCTGTTGTCGTCATCTTGATCACCTCCCACACTTGCTGGTTTGGTTGTAACTGCAGTCGTGGATGATGATTCAGGTCGTGCCGATTTGTATGAGATGGTGGCGACCGATTCAAGCGTAGCTGGTTTACGTCCTCCACCACTTCCTCCTGCTGAAGATGACTCATTCATCATTGAAGAAGAACCATGTGCTCGGTGCTCAGCATCCGTTGACATTTGATCACGCATACGATGTTTGCTATGATATAGAAGTTCCATCAGCCATTGTTTTTCCTTTAACATCAAAGAGAAACACAACACCACTTACCCTGTAGCCAATTCCTCTTTTGAAATAGTATCAGCCTCCTCACCAGGTTCATGCAGATACAAGCAGGTTGGATTTGGACATGTCATATTTCGAAGATAATACGTGCAATACTTTGTGGTGCCATAAGATGCTCTATACATTTCGATCAATATCATCTCTCTCTTGTTCCTTCATTGTCATTTCTTACCGTAATATCCTTCCAGCCATGACACTACCATCCACACCATGAATGGCTTTGGCAGCATCCTCTTTTCGGTTGTATGTGACATAAACAGCAGCACTTGGTTGCATCGTGGTCGTACCGCTGGCATTGGAAGTGGGTGCTACAGGTCGTTTGTTGATGACTACTTTGGCGATCTTTCCAAACTGGCCGAAAAAGTCGCATGATCGTATAATCTATTCCCATCATCATGGTCACTTGCAATTCCATCATCTCAAATGTATCCAAATCCTCTTACCTCTTCCGTTGCTAGTTTGGGATGAAGGCCAATAACATATACAAGATTCTTTTGCACCACACGCATGTTGGCAAGATGGCGTCGATTGGCAGCCTCCATATCTTTTTGTTGTCGTTCCTTCTCCTTCTTTTCTCGTTTGATACGTGCAATCCTAAAAGCACACCACATCATGATTAGAGATAACGATACTCTCGATAGCCGCTTTCTATACTTACTCGTCAGCACTGATAGGCTCGAACTCTGCCATTTGTTCAGAATACTCTCGTCGACTAGAATAAAAGAGATTGTCAGCTGAGGGGTGTGTGTGTGTGCGTGTATAGTAGGCTGACTACTACTACTACTACTTGCCATGCAGGACATCGTCCATTCAAGTTTTCTCGAATATGGTGCCAACAAAAGCGACAGATCTATCGAAATCATTCAACGTTACTCTATGTTGGTGTGTTGATGCCTCTGTTTCGCCCATGCTTGTCAACTTTATATACCTGGTAACCGCATGTGCAAGGCCTAAAATTCCGATCGGCAATGTCAAGCTCCTCCATGCAGAGAGGGCACTCGTAGTCTTCTTCATCAGAGTCGAGCATGGTGTACAATAGGTATAAGTGATGGAGAGAGAGAGAATGAGAGAGGAAGAAAGGAAGAGAGAGAGAATGAGATAGAGAGCAAGGGAGTTTCACACAAAGTAGTGGAAAAAGGGGTCAAGCCAAAGGAAAAACTAGCCCACCCAGAAAACAAGTTACGTCTTGTCTCCGCTGGTATCATCGTTAGCCAAAAATTCATCCTTCATCGTACCTGAACTGTAGCAGATGTCAATAAATGTGCATGTTGCATATCAAAAGCATAGTTCTCTTACTCAAGAAATAACACGTGAATTTTCTATTACACTTGCTACCGCTTTTGCTGATTAATGTATCATCTTCATGAGCCATTGTATGAAAAGAGTGCATGATGGTATCCTTTCATATGACACGATCAATAATGATGCCATTTTCTTTCTCATTTTACTCTTCAACCACGCTAGCTCATTCGTTGATCAACGTCTAGTATTCCTGTCAATGATGGTATTGCATGGTGCTGTCGGGCTCGTTATCCAATTTCATAGCAAGAAGCCACAGCAATAGTGAGAAATGGTGGCGTGTGAAAAGGATGGTTTGCATGATTTTACATGTCACATGCTCAACTCTGACGTGTTACTTGGATGTGTTCTCAAGTTAAGGTTTCCAGACGATGCTCATATTGGCTACTTGTGCATATGCATTCAACATGCGTTAAGTGCATTCAAATGCCAATGCTTCAAGAAATATGGTCCTTGAGGTGAGAACTAATAGATATCCTCCTGTTGGATGATCCTTGTTGACTACTTGATTCGGTGCTCCCATAAGTTTTTACCATTATAGAAGGTGCATACGGCAATGGATACTGATTCATGATAGGGAGAATCCAAGCTCAACAATGTATAGGTGTGTGAGCCTTTTTATAGGGGGACGCCTTACTCAGGTTTGTCAAAGTGACTAAAATACCATGTTGAAAGGGCTTTCCAAGGATGATGGGTATGTATGATGCCATGTAGTTTTGTCTTTAGACATCTTTACGAGGTAGTAGACATTAAAGGTACTATGGTTGCTATGGCCAAGGAACAAGTAGATCAACCAACAGGATACCGAGGATCACATCAAAAGAAGGATATCAAACAAATCGAAGATAAAAGGCACTCGATCATCCATGTCACACACCAATTCACTTATGGCTCAGGCTTGCATGATAGTTTGGTTACCCCAGATCTTCAAATATAGTCTATCATGGTACCACATTGTTCCTGGAATACCCACGAGAGACAACATCATGTAGATTGACATTCAAATGATCTTTCCATTTATACATAGTAAATACGGCCTTTCTCAAATACGATCCCATTATGATATTGGTGTAGGGTTCAAGATGATTGGATGGCAAGGTAACCAAAGTTTCATTTTGGATTTGCGGAACATCAAGAAGAACAACAGTGCTCGTTGGGCTCTCTCTCTCCCCCAAGACCGGGACACTCCGAATTGCGGGCGATATCGCCGCTTGATGGGGAATGACGTTTGGGGTACATGTACAATGCTCGATCCATCATTTCAATATAAAGACCATTTAGCCTATCAGCTTCGAGACAATGCGGTGCCCATCCATCATTTTATTTATTCACCCAAAAACGGCACACGGCACATCACGTTGTAAAGTAGTCTATTGATGCAATATGCATTTGCGGGATTAAGTATGGAGAAGCCTTCATCCGGTGGGTTTCAACAAGCTCAAGTCGTTGAAAGCAAATGGTAACAACGGAGAAAACGGGATGATATCCATCGTATCCACAAAGGATAAATGAGAGAAGGAGAGAAAACAACATTGCCCTTGGTATACATACTAGATCATCAGATGGTAGATGATGATGGTGGGTATAGCTTCTTTATCACCATGCAGAATATAGCTGAGTGCGGTGATGATGATGATGATCTTTTATAAAGGGGGATTTGACAAGGTTTCTTTAATGGAACAATGGACTTCTTGTAAACAATGAATGGATGAATGTATGTGTATGTGTGAGTTGTGTTTGTATGTTTGGCAAAGACATTTCCCTCTATCACCACCGAGCCATTTACACGGTGCCAACTGCCAAATGCTGTGTAGGCGTGGTAGTTTTGTTGTGTCCGCCCCAAGCATTTTCCCGAGTTTGCCCGACCTATTTTTTTCCAAGGCTCGTAGTTAACAAACACACCTCTCTTCCTTACAACCACTCTCCCCCACACACATTCCACATTTACACCATGTTCCGATTGGTCGCTAGCAAGGCTCCCTTATCCAACGTATGAAAACCATGACACGCACACACATTGTACCCCTTGTCGATTACTCACTCAAGCCTTTTTTGTCATTGGCAGATTGCTGCTCGCAACGCTGCAGCCAAGACTGTACGCGCTCCCGTCGCCACCAGCTTGTTCCGTTTCTATAGCACTCCTGCTGGTATGTGTTTGCCATATTATTTATACAACACCCATATCTGATACACCTTGATAATAGACACTGAATATGACGTTGTCGTTATTGGTGGTGGTCCTGGTGGTTACCCTGCCGCTATTAAGGCTGCCCAACAAGGTCTCAAGGTATGACGTGAGAAAATTCAAGGATATGGGGAGGAGACTGATTTTTACGCGTATTCTAACACAACGTTTTGTAATAGGTTGCCTGTATCGAAAAGCGTGGTTCCCTTGGTGGTACTTGCTTGAACGTTGGCTGTATTCCTTCCAAGGCCATGTTGAACAACTCTCACATTTATCACGAAACCAAGCATGGTCTCAAGAGCCGTGGTATTGATGGTAAGTACATACACACACACACACGTTTTGGATCAGGAGAGAGAGAGAAACGAGGATGCTTATACACACCTTTTTAGTTGGTGATGTCAAGTTGAACCTTGCCAACATGCACAAGGCTCGTGTTAAGGCTGTCACTGGTTTGACCCGTGGTGTTGAATTCCTTTTCAAAAAGTACGGTGTTGACTATGTCAAGGGTACTGGCAAGTTCCGTAGCGCTACCGAGATCGAAGTTGCTGGTCTTGATGGCAGCGAATCCGTCTTGAAGACCAAGAACGCTATCATTGCCACTGGTTCCGAACCCACTCCCATCCCTGGTATTCCTTTCGATGAGAAGCGCATTGTCTCTTCCACTGGTGCTCTTGAGCTCCCTGAAGTCCCCAAGAAGATGGTTGTTATTGGTGCTGGTGTCATTGGTCTTGAATTAGGCTCTGTCTGGTCTCGCCTTGGTGCCGAGGTCACTGTTGTTGAATACTTGGATGCTATCGGTGCTGGTATGGATCCCGAGCTTGCCAAGACCTTCCAAAAGCTCCTTGCTAAGCAAGGTCTCAAGTTTAAGATGGGTACCAAGGTCAACAGCGCCGAAGTTGTTGGCGAAGGTGTCAAGGTTGAAGTTGAAGGTGCCAAGAATGGCAAGACTGAAACTGTAAGTAACATTGGATATCACTCTAAAAGTATCATTTTTATTCATTCATCCATTCATCTATATCATCCATAGCTTGAAGCTGATGTCTGCTTGGTCTCCATTGGCCGTCGCCCTTACACTGAAGGTCTTGGTCTTGAGAATGTCGGCATCGAGATGGATAACCGTGGCCGTGTTGTGATTGATTCCGAATTCAAGACCAACGTTCCTAACGTTCGTTGCATTGGTGATGTTACTTTTGGTCCCATGTTGGCTCACAAGGCTGAGGATGAAGGTTTTGCCGTCTCTGAAATGCTTGCCACTGGCCATGGTCACGTCAACTATGATGTTATTCCCTCTGTCATTTACACTCACCCTGAAGTCGCTTGGGTTGGTAAGAACGAAAAGGAGCTTAAGGATGCTGGCGTCAAGTACAGAGTTGGTACCTACCCCTTCGTTGCCAACTCCCGTGCTCGTACCAACGATGATACCGATGGTATGGTCAAGGTTCTTGTTGACGCTGAAACTGATCGCATGCTCGGTGTCCACATTATCGGTCCTAACGCCGGTGAAATGATTGCTGAGGGTGGTCTTGCTCTCGAATATGGTGCCTCTGGTGAAGATGTTGCCCGTACTTGCCACGCTCACCCCGTAAGTTTTAATGAAGGATGATGATTATGGATGATGACAATGATTGACATGGATTCTCTTTTATAGACTCTCAGCGAGGCCTTCAAGGAGGCTTGTATGCTTGCCAGCTCCGGCAACGCCATCAACTTCTAGACATCCTCATCCCCTCTATTTTACTCGATCAACACAATCATACTTCATCAACAATGAAAAAGACGCAAAATATACGCTCTCCGCTGTTTTATATAATGTATACTCAAGCGTTGTGTACAATATCAGATTCATGAATGGTTTCAGGATTGCCGGCAGTATCAAAGGCAGGCAAATCAAAATGCTGGATACATGTGTGTTAATGGGATCAATGAGTGGGATGTAATGTGTTTTTTCTTTTACCTCTGGATTGAATTCAGCCATCGAATCAAGCACCAAAGTAGCACCGTGGGAATCCACATCACCAGCAATAGCGCGTAGATTACTATCAGGGATCCATACAACCTAATGATAAAGAAGATTTTAGCTTTGTTGCCATGGTTACCTAAGACAACTTACATGCATATGAGCGTTGCGACCCGCTTCCACACCATTGGTAGCATCTTCAAAGACAAGACAGTTTTCAGCAGATGGATTACCAAGTCTTTTTTGTGCTGCCAAAAATAAATCGGGCGCAGGTTTGCCTTGCTTGATATCGTCGTCATCACCACACACAATGTAATCGAACAATGAAAACAGCTCTTTGTTGCGGGAGGTCTTGAGCAAGAACTTTTCACGGCTTGAGGATGTAGCAACAGCCATAGGAACCTTGTGCTTGTGCAAGTGTCGGATCAAACGTTCAACACCAGGCAAAGGTTTCACCAAAGGAAAGCGTTCTTCGTGTAATTGAGATGTGATATCAATGTACTCGTCCACAGTCATAGGAAGCTTGTATTCGTCTACGACCATAGCAGCCGACTAGAATAGGAAAGGGGAGGGGAGTCAGGCTCAATGCGCGTTACTACATTTGCTCGTCAATGGTTGTACTTCATTGCCAGTTCGGCCCATGAGCTTGCTCTTGAACTCCCAACTGAACTTGATGCCATTTGCATACTTGTCGAGGATCTCCTGGGTCACTTCAGTATAAACACGTTCGGTATCGAGCAACAGGCCATCCTGATAATGATGATCCCATTTTAGAGTGACATGTGCATATGTAATAAAGCCTTTTTAATTGTTTACCATATCAAAGATACAATGTGTGATACGAGGCATGATGATGATGATGATGGTGGTGGTGGTTGACAGGTAAAAGTGAGAGAGAGAAAGAGAGAGGGAGGAAGAAGAAGGTGGCTCATGACTCTATGGCTGGAGCCTAAATGTTATCTTTGGGGTGACACATCCTTTGAATCGCCACGTCTCTTTTCATTCATTTTTTATGCTATCGATATGAGTTCACACAAGCAAGAAAGAAAGCACAAACGAAGCAAGCACGAACGTAGGACTTTTTGCTCTTTATCCTTGAATGGACTGGGCCATTCACACACACACCACCCATTCTCTTCGTGTAGCCATCTCCAATGACGACTACTTTGTCAAATCAGCCGAATTCCGCATGTGGCTCAAGGAGGAAAAGGATCGATACTTTAACGACCTCGACGCTGAAAAGGCTCGTCATTACTTTAAAAAGTTCGTCAAGGCTTGGAACAGAGACGAGTTGGAAGGTATCACGTGACATCCACTTTCCATCATGATACCGATCGCTCACTTGCATTATAGAAAAGTATTACAAAGGCATCAACTCAGCACAACTATCATCCTCTGACAACACTGGATACAAATGGTCATTTGCCAAGAAGCTGGATCAGCATGAATTGGATACTGTGAGAGACTCGGTGGATACAATGACGGGTGGTGGACGTCAACAACGTGGACGGAGGGCACAAGTAGGTCCTTCGCGACCACCCACAACAGGCTATGACCAAGTTGGTGAGTTTATGCAACACTCTTTTCAACACCCGATTTAATGCTTTATCATGGCGATGTAGAGGAGGAAGAACGAGAGGAAAGAGAACGTGCAGAACGACGTGCACAACGCAAAGCCGAATCCAAACGTAAACGAGATCGACGAGAGGAATATTTGGATGAAGTTGCTCCCAAAGAAACCGGTCGAGAAGCACAAATGGCAAAGAAACGAGCATTGAACGCATACCACAAACGTGAAAGGAGTCCTGATGTCGAGTTGGATGAATCCGATCTTTATGGTGGAGGCGATGATTTTAAGGCTGCGTAAGTGATTCTCTTCTTTTACATCGATAAAGATATTGATAACGATGGCTTTTTTAGACTCGCAGCTGAAAAACGACGAGAAGAAAGACGCAAGCAAAGATATGAAGAAAAAAGGGAACAGCGCCTTGGACCCGTGCGTGACAAGATGGCCGAATACAAAGCCAAGGAAAGTGCTACCATTGAAATGTTCAAGCAAATGGCAGAGGAGCAAAGACGACGAGGGGCCTTTTAATTATCCATATCAAAAATTATTTTGAATAATATACATCAATTTCGAGAATGATCTACTTGTCTATTATTACCATGAATGACAAATGAGAGGATGATGGTACCTGTCAATTGCATGAGAGCGGCAGCACCTGTCACATGATGACACTGTTGAAATCACATAGCCACATTTGTGTCACTGTGTTCCACGTTGAGGGTTTCTGAAGAGAGTTAGCGAGTGTGGTAAGGTTGATCGCCTATGCGCATCCCTATGTTCTATGATGATGACGGATCAAAAAGCATCATAACTTGTTACGCGAATCACATCTTCTTTTCTTTTTCATCTTCGTAAACCACGCCTCAACAGCATTACGGCACTCGCTTTCCCTTCCTCTCTTTATTATTACTTATAACATAAACCCCCCATTCCTTATGAAGTGGTCACTGTTTCTCGGATTAACAGTGGCGGCGGCGACGACCTCGTTTTATTCAGCAGCTGCAGCTTTAAGCAATCACAATGACCCCGGCTTTGTACCAGGCCGATACATTGTAGAATTGAGTGATGGTGACAATCCCTTGGATACGACCCGCCAAAAATTTGTTGACTTGATGGAGGATGCATTTGGCAAACAATCCGTTTCGATTGTGGATACCTTTGACCATTCGCTTATGAAAGGGGTGACCATGCAATTGAATACCCTCCTTCAACCAAACGACAACGACTACTTACAACGTGATGATGGCAGTATCATTGACAAGATGCTGAGCAAAATCAAGGGTCATTCCATGGTGACCAAAATGTACCCTGTACGCATGTTGTCGAGCCCCAAGGTTTCATTTAACGCTATCGATTACAAGTTGGGCACTATGAATGCAACCGCCATGTGGCCACATCGCATGACTCAAGTAGATCGCGTGCAACAAGAGCTCAAGAAAACAGGCAAGGGTCTCGTTATTGGTATCATCGACAATGGTAAATATTATTATGATGCCCATTCTTCAATCGACTCAGCAATCCATAGCGATATTGTGATGGTGGTGTAATGTTGGGCTTAGTCGAAGCAGTTGCACAATTCAATATAACTAATGGTTACACACACGCAACAGGCATAGACTACTATCATGAAGCGTTCAGCAATGAACAAGGCAAAAAGGGGTGCTTTGGCAAAGGATGCAAGGTTGCCATGGGATACGACCTTGTTGGCGATGACTATAAACCACATGGACCCGATTCAACCCCTAAACCCGATTCCGACCCTTTTGATTCTTGTGGAAAACGATCGACAGGTAAAATTTGTTACACGTCAAATTGACAGGGTGTGTATGTGTGCACGGACTTGATGATCACATGACCTTTCTTTTGTACTGTAGGGCATGGTACGCATGTAGCTGGTATCATTGCTGGTAATTCTACCGTACGTACAAAGGATAACTCAAATGTGATCAAGATGCTCAACTCATGTACCATAATAGCTGATCCATGGGGTTGCTCCTGATGTGACGCTTGGGATGTGGAAGGTGTATGGTTGCTATCCCACCACTTCAGAAGACGTTGTTGTCAAAGCCATGATGGATGCCTACCATAAGGGAGTGGATATCATTTCGGTGAGCATTGGCTCAAACAATGGATGGAGTGAATCACCTATGAGTGCAGCTGCTCAACGCATCACCGAAAAAGGTGTCCCAGGTACGAAAAAGTAACCATACAAACATATCAAGTGCATTAACTTTTGCAATTTTAGTTGTCATCGCTGCTGGTAATGATGGTTTGAATGGTGCTTACACCGTACTGGCCCCAGCCAAAGATGCCACCTTGGTTGGCTCTTTTGATAATAACAACTTTTATACAAACTACTTCATTGATCAAAACAATACGTTTTATCGTAAGTAGGATGCATGGATGGAGTCGTACTCATAGTAACATTGTAACGTAGCTTATCGTCCAAGCCAAACAGGGGGTGCAATGTCTAATGGTACTCTCGCAGCGGGTGATGTTCATCTCGGCAGTGATCATGATGCATGTGATCCCGATCAAGTGAACGAAAAAGTGAAGGGTCATATTGCACTTGCCAAAGAAGGTGGTTGTAGCTTAAGTACAAAGTTGATCAATCTTCATGAAGCTGGTGCCACAGGTGTGATTATTTACACGCATGATGATATTGAAATCTATGACGGCGTCAAACTCACTGCTGCTGGAAATGACACCAAAACCACCTTGGTGACCACGTTCAATCGTGTCGGTGTCAAGCTTGCAAATGCTCTTGCTGAGGGAAAGAATGTGACAATCCATTTTGGAAAGGCCGGCATCATGCCCTATCCCACTGGCAACACTGTGTCGTCCTTTTCAGGTGTGGGCGCTTCGTACGAAAACGATCTCAAACCTGATATTGCTGGTATTGGTGGTTCAGTCTTTTCAGCTGTGCCTGTTGACATGGGCAACTATGGTGTTATGAGTGGGACTTCAATGGCTGCACCCTACATTGCAGGCTCGATAGCATTGTATCTTGAGGCACATGGCAAGAACCAAGAAAAGACAACTCCGCGATTTATCAATGAGCAATTGCAAGCTTATGGTTACAAGGCACCCCATTCCTATGATGAAAGTGATGATGTCGACACACCTCTTCGTCAAGGTGGTGGTCTTTTACAATGTAAGTTGTCATCCATTTTTTATAGCCATCATGATGAATTCATTTCTTCCTTTCAGTGTATGATGCTATACAGCAAACAGTGCATGCATCCCCATCTCGTCTCAGCTTCAATGATACCGCCAACCAAATCAAATCACACACTATTACGGTTACCAATCATGACGATACATCCACAGCGTCTTTTACAGTGCTCAACAATGTGAGCGTAGCACTTCATCCATTTAACAACAGCGATCCTGGATACCCTTTTTTGGAGCCTGCTCGATACAGCAATGACTCTGTGAGTTTACGCTTCTCCAAAAAGCAATTTAAACTTGCTCCAGGAAAGAGTGTCAACATTACTATATCCCCTGTCATACCATCGACGCTGGAAAAGTATACAATGTATAGTGGATACGTGCAATTCAAGAGCGATCATCCTGACAAGCACAAGGATTTGGCTGTGCCATACATGGGTGTTGTTGGTAACTTGCACGAGCTCAAGGTCTTTGGTAAAGGGACACCCTTTCTGAGTGATGCCAACACAACACGTATATACGAAGGGGATGATGTCTACGAATGCTCCATAGCCAATACAAGCACCTACCCGGTATTCTATTGGCATCTTGCTCGACCCGCTGCCCACATCTCCATGGAACTCTACAACCATACCACAGGGGCGAAACTTGGTCTCCTAAAGCCCACCAATAATTATGATCTCCCACGTAGCACCAGTGATTTACCCTACTACAGCAACGCGTGGAATTTAACTTTTATTCCTACTGGATCTTCTACTGGCAGTGACAACATGTCGCCAGTGTCACCAGGCAAATACCACGTTGTTACCAAAGTATCCAAATGGCTCGGTAAAGGAACTGAAAACCATACATCAGCCACCATTTTAGTCAAGTCTTAAAGATAGTAATAAAACCACATGATCTAGTAGCAATCATAGTGTGGAACCGATTTGCATGAATTTGGAAACATCAGCGAAAAAAGAGTGACCATGCAACCAAAGCAAAACTCAGAGGCTGGATGTTGTTAAGCCTGCACTCCCTTCTTTCTTTTTGACGGAACTCAACCTTCTTTTTTACTCGCAATTGAGCATGCCAATGCCGAAACCTCACAATGCACGAGTCTTTATTGATCCGCCAACACGTTCAGACGGCAAGAATGGGGAGAAGATTCTAAGGAAAAAGGGATTGGAGATTGTCAAGCGCGATCAACTAAAGTATCTCGCCTATTTCAAAACGCTGGGTGAAGGGTTGACAGAGCAAGAAGGTAACACTGCTGTTAGAGGAATACCGTTGCCATGGATTTTGTATGCTAAGATGTTCTTTTTGACAGGTACTGCGCTCGCTTGTCTACCAGCTGGATATGCATTGGGCAAAAAGAGAGATCACAAAGTGCTGACAGGTACGCTTACAAAGTAAGGTTATCGTTTTCATTATTGACCATGGGTTGTGTGATGGACTCTATAGGACATCCTTCAGGTCGTGATTTTGCTTCAAGCAGTAAGTAGATTGGATTGGATGTGTGTTGGTGGTACAGGAATGGTGTCATGTTCATGCAAGCTTTATTCTATGATAGCCATGTTTTTGCCGCATCTCAAATGGCTATTTACATCGGGCGAAGATCCATGCCAATGTAAGCTGTGCAATGGGAGAAAAAAACGTCCTCGTCAAGAATCCAACAAGATCCCTGAACATGAAGGTGAAGAACAACAACAACAACAACAATCCATGAAGGAGCAGCAGCAGCAGCAGCAACAGCAGCAGCGTCCATCTTTGATAATGAAGGAGGAGCATGAGAATCAAAAAAGGCTACGACAACGACTACAACGACGACGACGACACCAACTCAAAGATGATGGCATTTATGGACCATTACGACCCATGGACAAAGTACTGATCAAAATGCCACACGAGAACGATCTACCCATACCCGGTTGCATATCCATACCCACTTTGGTTCCTGTTCCCAACATTGAAGAAAAACTACGTCCACAACAACGCCACTCCTAGCCATATCAAGCGAGTTCAATAATGTAAATAATGATGTATTCCCCCAAAAAGTTGATTACTGTAGGTAGGGTCTATCGGGGCCAGGGCATTTGATCTCAAGGGCTTTCAAGTCGTATGGGATATCCTTCTCCTCTTCAGATGAAAACATGTTCTAGTATAATAATAAATGTTGAATATTGCACCATCATCATAGTACACGTTGTTCTTCCTTACATTCCATAATACCAATGCCATCACCTCATGCGCGCACTTGTTGGGATGAAAGCTATAAAGATTGAGGGTATATATGAGCATCATCGTTATAGTAGCATGCATGGTCATCCATCCTTTACCAGTCGAAGCCGCTTAAGTAACTGCGTTGATAATTTGAGAATGGAAAATGCCTAAATCCTGGTTGGTAGGCAACTTGGAAATCATGTGATGAAAGGGAAGGATCGTTTGCCAACTTTTTCAAACGTGCATTGTACTCGACCACCAGCTCATCCGCGGCTACGTACATAACATCCTTGATGAGCATATACATAAATGGATGCATGTCTTCTTACCTTGACGTTGAGCGTCATCTCCTTGTACACAAGAGCATATGCTCATGTGAGCTGTGCCCCAAATAAACTCACAATAGGAATCACCTTGGATGGCATCGTATACGCTGGATACCTATATGGCATCATCATGTGGGTATGTATGCGTGTGTAGTCCCACCGTCGTCATGTGATGGTATACTTACATTGAATAGACCAACCACGTTTACAAACGATTTGGGTACTTCTTGCTTAAGGCGGGTCAGCACCTGTCGCATATTTTCCTCAAAAGTATCAGCATGTGTGAGCAAGGGCAAACCAGTAAAGGGAGGATGGCACAGGATACAGATATTGTTGGCCCCGATGAATAATGTGATGAGTTTCCAATCATCCTTGATATGCCGGTAATGGTAATTCGAATTCAGTAGATGGATCAATCGGCTCACTTCACTGTGCAGGTCTTGAAACTTGGCTCCGCTCACCTAAAGGTGAAAGAATGAGCCCCTCTTGGTTATCACATCCACCCCCTCCAAAAAGTAAATGTCACTTGCCGCATTGTTCAAATCTTTTCCACGGGACATTGGAAAGGTGACACCTTCAGGTCCACCTTCTGACAAGGAAAAAGGTCGTAAAAAGTTGGGTATGGTATACTCTTCAGGATCCATGCCAGATGAAAACGCCTTGCCTCGGTATTCCCAAACAGCTGCAAATGGGGGTCGCTCTGTACATGTATAAACAAACAATGCAATGTTAGAAGCAAGTAGCATGTCGCCGTTGTTGATAATAACAAATTACCTGAAAGCATCCCAAATCCGGCAGAGATACTATCGCCGAGAGCAATCACCGTTTTAATATCCTGCATGATGGTATGGATCATTCAATATAGATGCAGCCAATGTTGTCAATCGAAGAAAGCTTACGTGGGGTCGAAGATGTTTAGCATCCCTTGATTCATGGCGTCCATCATCCCAATAGAATGTTTCACACTTGAACTCAGGTAGTTGAATAGGACAATGGTTTTGTTTGTAAGATGAATGATCATGCCCTCCTAACGCGTTGTAAAATTGTTCCATAAGTTGGATCCATTGGGCAGTGAATGGGTGTAATAAACTGGTTTCAGTGGTGGGTGGCGCTGCTGGTTTTGGTTTCCATGGCGGCGCTGTTGCTGTGGTGGATGAACTATTGTCATGATTGATCATGATGGGTATCTGATGGGATGGTGGATCTGCTGTTGCATGGTGGTGTATGGGTATTAAGAAGAACACTACTGCTATAGACAACAATAGTAACATCGTGGTGGGTGGAATGAAAGTGTAGAATATAGGAAAGAGAAAAGAAAAGCTTGGTTCTTCGCTTGTTGCATCGGTTATTGCCCACGGGGGGTTGAAACGCCGATTGCATGATAGCATTCACCCACCTGACAAAAAGAGATCATATGCTCCACCCCACGCGAGCGTTCCTCATTTCAAGTGTATCCCCAATTAACTTTTTTTGTTGACATGTTTTGATTGGTGATGTATATACGCAGGTGATATCGTTCATAGTCATCGATAAAAAAGGCCGAACAATAGGATGATGATAATGATTGAGGGTGTATGAGTGAGTGTGTCAGAGTGTCACTGTGTATAATTTCATCCACTCGTAGCTCAGATCTTTGATCCATTGCTCTTTGATACACACATCTCTCTGCTTCTTTCTCTTTCTCGCTTCCACTCCGCAGTTGCCCTTCTTTTGAACCCCACCTCCCTCCCTCCCTTCCAATGACTTCAGAGGAAAACAAGCTCAAGGCTGACCAGATCAAGGCTGAAGCCAATGTTCTTTTTGGACGTACGTATTTGATTCTAAGGAAAAAAAAGAGGAGGAACCTCACGTTGCTTGAACAGAGAAACGATTCAACGATGCGATCGAAAAGTATACAGCTGCCATTGAACTCAACCCAAACGTTGCTGCCTACTACACCAATCGCGCCTTTTGCCATGTCAAGCTAGAGAACTACGGCTATGCCATTTCGTAGGTGGTCATTCGCTCTCTCTTTTATTACAACACGTTTTTCATTTTTGCAATCGATCAGGGACGCTGAGGAAGCTCTCAAGATCGATCCGACACTCACCAAGGTACGGGCTACTATTAGTGTGTGTGGGGCACCTATCTTCTGACATGTGTGTGTGTGTCTGTTGCTAGGCAAACTATCGTCGTGCATCTGCCAACATGGCTCTTGGCAAGTTCAAGGAAGCATTGAAGGATCTCAAAGTGGTATGTAGTAAGCAACATTGGGATAACATCATGTGTTCCTAATACGTTGCCATAGGTATCCAAGCGTGCACCGGGTGATAAGGATGCGAAGATGAAGTTGGATGAATGCGCAAAGATTGTCAAGCGTATCGAATTCGAAAAGGCCATTGAAGTATGTATCTATATACCCACCTATCCATGGAACCATGTATTCATGTCAATTCGTTTAGCATGATGATCGTAAACCAAGCGTGGGTGACACTTTGGAACCATCAAGCATCGGTATGTCTATTTCTTGTGTGGATAAAAGAGACACACACATTCTGACTCATTCTGTGTAGCGGTGGAATCATCTTATGATGGCCCAAGGATTGATGAAGAAAGCAATCAAATCGACAAGAAGTTTGTGGATACAATGATTGAGCGATTCAAGAACCAAAAGACCGTTCACAGAAAATATGCATTCATGGTACATAGCAGCAGGAAAAGAGGAGGGACTACAATGAGATCTAACGGATGTTTGCATAGATCATTCTTGCTGTGCGAAAGATGATGTTGGAGGCTCCTTCATTGATCGATGTTCAAGTTCCACCCAATGGCAAATTAACAGTGTGTGGTGATGTTCATGGTACGTACGCACAAAGAAAGTGAGGAATGAATTGAGTATCCGGGTTATTGATTGTCTACAACAACCATAGGTCAATTTTACGATTTCATCAACATTTTCGAGACTAATGGTTATCCTGCTGAAGATCATGCCTACTTGTTCAATGGTGATTTTGTGGATCGTGGCAGTTTCTCAGTCGAAGTTATCTTGACACTCTTTGCTTACAAATGGCTCTATCCCAATCGATTGTTCTTGGCACGTGGCAATCACGAGACCGACAACATGAACAAGGTGTATGGTTTTGAAGGCGAAGTTCGTGCCAAATTCAATGAAACCATGTTCAAGGTAATTGGAAAACATGCAATCAGGAAAACGAGTACGTGTTAGATTAACATTGGATTCTATCTAGTTGTTCTCTGAAACGTTCAATGCTCTTCCTTTGGCCCATGTCATTGAGAACAAGATCCTTGTTGTACACGGTGGTCTCTTCTCTAAGGATGATGTGACTTTGGATGATATTCGCAAGATTGATCGATTGTCACTTGGCCAACCTGGTACAGATGGTAAGTGTCTGATGGAGGATACAAGGATGGATACATGGATGGAGAGCTAAAATGGGTTTCAGGTTTGATGTGCGAGTTGTTATGGTCTGATCCCCAACCAGAACCTGGTCGTGGTGCAAGCAAGCGTGGTGTGGGTATCCAATTTGGCCCTGATGTCACCAAGAACTTTTTGGAACGCAACAACCTTGGTAAGCATGGATTAGTCTCATGGATGGATCGAGAAAACTAATAAGCGAAAAAATGGGTAGACATGCTGATACGAAGCCATGAAGTGAAGGAGAATGGTTACGTGATTGAACATGATGGCAAATGTGTCACTGTCTTTTCAGCACCCAACTATTGGTAAGTAGGAAGGAAGGATGTGCGTGTGTATGTGTGAAGAGCCAATGTAGCTAACAAACCGATATAGTGACACTGTGGGCAACAAGGGAGCATTCATCAACATTACACCGGATCTCAAGTTAGATTATGTTACATTTGAGGCTGTGGTAGGTTTGGGTGATGAAGGTGGCGAATTTTTTTAGATGCATGATCTGACGCTTGTTTATTCAGCCCCATCCTCAAGTGCGTCCAATGCAATACGCCAGCCAATTCAGCGGCTTGTTTGGCATGTAAACATCTAATACATTTTCATACACAAAGAATGATATTTCTAGACTCCATACTTGTTTTGACAAATTGCATGTTTTGTTTACTTTACAAAATGGAATGTACTGTAAAAAAAGGATGAAAAGGACAATTATGACTACATGTGTGAGAGTGAGAGAGAAAGAAGAAGAATGTACACCCGAAAACAGAAGGAAGAACGAAAAAGCAACAAGATGATGCGTGATGAAAGAAAGAAAGAAAGAAAGAAAAAAACAAGGGGAATAAGCAATCCAGGGGGTGGGGAGTGAAGGTGAAGAGAAAGAAAGAAGAGAGAATGCTATGTTTGTCGTCAACAAAGGAGGCTGTGTGATTCCTTTTAGAAACAAGGGAGAGAGAAGAGGAGTATATGTAAAGGGGAGGTGGAGGTGGTGATGGAATGTCTATGAAGAGCAACAGCAGGCTGATTTATCCGGCATGATGCAGCAATCTGGAATGCTGTCGGTTGGCTGTGGAGGTGTTGCAAGCGACATATCGGATGAAGAAAGGGCGTGTATTGCAGCCCCTCTCAATACCTTGACATGCACCATTTTAGGATATCGTACTGACACTAAGCTATCCATTGATTGTGCTCTTCTTTTACTATTACTCCTACGATGGTGTCTTGTGGCGGCATCCTCCATCATTGTAGTTGCCGTGTTGGCTGTAATAGAAGATGAAGTAGGATGCCGATGATGCTGATGACGATGATGATGGTTTGGCTTTGAAAGCACCGAGACTCCTGAATCCCGTTTCTGGTAGGATAGCGAAGCAGACGTTGTAATTTGACTTTCCGTGGCAGCAGGGGTGGTGGAGGAATGACAGTGGACATGGTGATGTTGTTGTTGTTGAGGGTTGCTATTACTACTGGGTGATACAGGAGGTGGTGGTGGAGTGCAAGACGATGATGTTGAGGTGGAAAATAACAACGAAGCCAAGCTAGCTTGATGCTGGTCATCAGCAGGAACACCCAATGCCCGTGCAATGTTGGGGTTGCTAAGACCTGATAAACCTTGCCCAATCAAGGCTCGTTTCTCATGTTGGTATTGTTCATAGCTAAGGATCTTTGTTTGATCATTTTCCAATAGCCCATCCTCATGACGATGTTGTGGTTGCACAGTGATTGATGCTGGACGACGGCGTGGTGGTGATGATGATGATGTCTCATGATCGACATTAGGGTCATCCTCATTATTATGCTGCTGCTTCTTTGTGCTGCTGTTGTTCTTTTTAAAGATACGCTGCATCACCCATTGTCGTGCATCACTCAATCTTTTCTTACGACGATGCTGTTGTTGTGGACTTGATTTGGTGTGATCAATAATTTCATTAGGTTGTTGTTGTAATGATAGGTCATAGTCATCTTCAAGCACAATGACCTCGTCTTCCAAAGATGGTGTATCAAGTGGTACGAGTGAACGCATTTCAGCCATTCGACGACCTTCTAGATCCGCTTGCAAGCGCAATAAGCGGATTTGTGATTCAATGTAGTATTTTACACGTCTATGTCGTCCTTCTCGACCGAGTGATGCCTATCGTGTGATTAATTTAAGAGAAACAAAAAAAAATGTACAGCACATGATCCATACCTTTAATGTATGCTGCTTTAAATTTTCTTCGGTGAGTGGGCATTGTTGTAAATGATGACAGGAGCCTGTAGGTGATGAGCGACGATGAGGATGATGATGGTGATGATGTTGCTGTTGTTGTTGTTGTTGATCATTGTGTTGGTGTGGGTCTATGAGTGAAGACATGGAGACTCGTTGTGAGTCTACAGAATGATGGCCATAGAGATCGGATGCCAAAGAGATGGAGGAATAGCCGTGAGCTGTTGTTGTAGCAGTAGGCATGGTGGCGAGTAAAGATGGACAAGAGCTACCCCGATGTAGGCTAACGCGCTGCTGCTGCTGCTGTTGCTGCATGGCTGTTGAATAGGCGAATGCAAATGTGTGCGTGTGTATGAGAGAGAGAGAGAGAAGAGAGAGCAAGAAAAAAAAAGAGAAAGGAAAAGAAAGGAAAGAGACAGCAGGCATCGGTATGCGGGGTCAACAATGAGGGATTTTATAGACAGTTGTGTGTGGTGAATGGGTGGTGGTTGCATTCATCATGGCGGGCTTCACGAGTCTCCTGCATCTCCTTGGATTGCCTTTTGTTTTACTAAGGAGATGGGATAGTCCATATATGTACGCACTCACACCGATACGAGAGAGAGGAAATGGCACACCCAAAGCTTATGGTCAATGATGATCGTTATAAATACATTGGCTGCAGAAATCATCCCACTCGTCGTCTATAACATCAACATTACATCTAACCCCCCTTTTTTTCTCAGCCTCTCCCAAAACAGATCCACACTTTTTTAAACGTAAAGTTTATTATCTATACGTGTGTATGTGTGTGTGTGTAGGTTTCTTTGCTGCCATGGTTGTTGCTCGGCTCTAGAACATGCAAAGTGCCCCGGTGGCGGTGATGATGGTGCAGATGTGTTTCTATAGCACGCATACGCCCACCGCGTGGTTATATACATCCAACCAAGGAGTGCCAATAGGATAAAGCAGGAGCGATAGTAAATACACACGCATCTTGTACATTCACTTTTATAAAGAAAAAAACTTTCCTCGGATGCAACGTCGTGTGTGAAAAGAGACACCCGACATATGCATGCGTGTATGTGTCACCGATAGCACGAACCATTACCTATATAAAACCACAGTAATATGGATGTCTCTTGTATAGTTGATTGTTTCATCATCATCTTTTTTTATGAATGGGCTTGTTGACAGCATACTCCTTTCTCGTTCTCACCCAACACATATGCATGTAACACAAGAACAATCGGCCGCATGACATTGTCAGCCTACTCCGCCGCCAATGGCCATTGATGCAACTTATATCCGAGAATAGGAGAGAAGCGATAAAGAACACCTGCTCATATCATTTGATCACCCAATTGGTGGCAAAAAAAGGGTTGTTTATGATGAAGGAGAAGGGGTGGGAGGTGAGATTACTTTAAGAGATGTACTATGAAAAAAACAAGTTCTATAAGAACTATATGGGTGTGATGATGATGAATGAGGAGGAGGAGGAGAAGAACGGAAGGTTGATTGATATCATCAAATGGGTAAAATAAAATAATAATAAAAAGGATGGGGGAATCTATTATGAAAAATAAGGGGTGGGGAGTAGTGTGGGGGAGGATGAATTGGGATGAATGATAATACTTTCTATCTATCTTTTACGCGACATGGTGGTGGTGGACGAAGGACGCATTGTGGACATTCGAGAGATTGTACGTCTTGAAGTAGTTGTAGGAGAAGGTGTTGCTGCTGGTGTCCTGCTACGAATGGTCGAATACTGCTGCATGGTTGTTGATGATGGTCGTGCAACACTTTTACGTGCTGCAGCGGATGAGATACTCCGAGTGCCAGCATGAACAGTGAGACCGGTACGAATGTTGCCTGCTACCGAAGATGGAGGACGAGTGGTGGGTGTTGTACTTCTCTTGCTGAGAATAGCAATTTCACGTCGTGCATCATCAAGCTCAGCTTGAAGTTGTCGTCTTGCTTCCACTTCACGTTGCCTGCTGGATTTAAGCTCATGCATTTCTTCAAGAACATGCGCCATCATGGATTCAAGCCTATCCCTAGCATGACTTTCTTGTCGTAATCGTGCTTCGAGAGGTTTGATTTGGGCTGCTGTAGCTTCAATTTGCTCCTCATAGGATTGTCGTACGCTGATTTCCTGCTCAAGTCGTTCATGCAAGGTCTGTTGTTGCTCATCCACCAAGATAGTCATATCCTCCATTGCCTTTTCAAATGCAATTCGCATGGCCGTCTCTTCTTGCAAGTGTGTTTCAACATCTTCAAGCCGTTCTTGCACTCGTGTCATTTGTCGTCGATGCACATGTCCACATAAGCGCACCACATCAACCATCATGCGTTGTGCGGGTTGAAGCTTGCCTTGTTGCATGGTTTTGCGATGATAATAGCCCCGCCAAACAGCTTGAATCTTGACGGCTGCAGCTGTACGCAAGATATCGCTGTGCATCAAATACTCTTGTTCTTGCTCGGATAAGGGTAAAAAGGTGGATGTCGATTCAAGCATACCCAAACCATCATTCTCCTTTTCATCATCAAGACGATCATCGTATCCTTCATCAGTGCGAGTGGTACCCGTGGATGAGCAACGCTCGATAACAGTGATATTCTTTGTGCCAAGGCGAACAAGAACAATGCGAGAGTCATCCGTCAACAAGCTGCTGCCATTACTATCCATGCGACGTTCATATCGATGTTGATGTTGCTGTAAATCGTTTGGATGAATCAACTCGGCCTCACTGCAATAGACTGGCAAGTTTGAAGAATCATCATCGGAAGATCCAAAACGTTCTCGTGGTCGTTGAAGCCACTCTGCATGTAAAGAAAACGATGAGTTACACCTTGAATGTAGAATGAACAACCCCTCTTGTTTTCCCTTAATGACATACCTTGTTCATACCAATAATCATCCTCGTAATCATCATCCTCTTCTTCTTGAACGCGACCCAAATGGTGGTGGTGGTGATGGTGATCGGAAAGAAATGAAGAAGGTGCCACGATAGTAGTACTTGCACCAGCACCAGCACCAGCAGTAGTGGATGTGGTGTTAGCTCGAGAGATAGCTTGAGTGACAGTAGCTGTGGAATCACAAGACTCTTCTCTTGGGCGGCGTTGATGGCAAATACGGCGTAGGTAATCATCATCCTCATCTTGATCGGTACATCTCGGAACGCCACTGCCGTGATTGTGCATGATGCTGTTACCGGGATTGGTCACCTGTGCAGGTAGCTGCAGCGGTGACAGACGCCCATCGTCAGCTAATACACCTTCCATCATCTCATCGTCTTCTTCTTGTTCCCAATTGCTCTTGAAGGACATGGAATGAAAGAATCGATCCAATTGATCATCTTCAAACTCTTGTCGTCTTGGCGACTGACACCTCTTATACAACGATTCCAACGCGTCGTCGTCATCGTCATCGTCTTGTTCATCGCCATACATTGTCAATGAAGAAGTGGAGGTGTTGGTGAATGACGATTCGTCAAAGAAGGAATCAGTGTCGTTGTCATTGTAAAACACGGCGAGTTGTTGCAAGCGAGCCTTTGATGGAAACTCGTAGCTTTCTTGCTCTGGACCGAGATTCTGAGGGACTTCAATCATATCGATGCAATCCTCGCCAGTGTTGTTGTTTTGACCCACGTAATACGACGGGTGCTGTCAAAAGAAGAAAAGTTACATTAACAAGAAGAAAAAGAGAAAAATGAGTGAAAGAGGAAAGGGGGAGAGAGAAAACAAGGTTTGACTTTGACACACATTGTGTGTAAGAGAGTGAAAGAGAGGATCCCGGAACCACAAAAATGATATGCAGCACACACACATACACAAACTCACACATGGCATTTTTGTGTTTGGAAAAGGGACCTTCGTGTACGACATGACAAAAATGATCCCTATTCTTCCCTCCCTCTCTCTTTGATCATCACCCAGCTTCTCCCTTTTCTAATCACCACCCTTCTTCTCTTATTGTCACGTTCGCTTACCTGATTAAGCATCATCTTTTCATCGGCGACCAGCGACGAGTTGTGATGGAATGTAACAGGTTCAGTATTAAATTCGTTCATCATGTTGTTTGTGTGTGTGTCGAGATAGAGAGATAGTAATTTTTGGTGGTTGTAATGCGATGGTGTACAAAGGAGCGAGAGATTAGGCACGTCGTATAATAGTATGGAAGGGGGTTGGTTGGTGGTTGTTGAAAATGCAGCTTCTCAAAGGAACGATGGAGAAAGCACAATGATTAATAGGATGTCAAGCCCGTCGGATGAAAGGATGGTGAACAAGTGTTGCGAATGTTGATGGTGTAAAGGGAAGGAACGGGCGGGGTGTGTATAGGTTGCGGTATGCGTGCTTGTTTGTTGGATGAAGCTGTGTTTTGTTGTTTGTATACGACAAAGGTATGTTGGAAAAGAAGAGAAAAAGAGAAAAATTGCTTGGCAGTGAGGATGCTGTTACTAATAAAAGAAAGGCTGAGTGTGAGTGTGCGTGTATGTGTATGGATGAATGTGTGTGGAGACAGATCCCAAAGAACGTGCAATTAGGATGAAAAAGGAGAAGCAACTGCAAAACAGGCAAAAGACCGAGACCATCATTCGTTCACCGGTTTTTATTGTACTCATCTCAACAGCTAGCGGCTCGTGAAATCGAATGGCAACACGTAGAGAGTGTTGGATGGGTGGGTGTCCTTGCATCATCATGTGCCTTTTTCTTTTTACCGAGCTGCACACAAGAAGAAGCAGATGACAATGGCGGGCTAAGAATCTTCCCAACAATAAAGTGACAAGCTGTCATTATTGAGTTGACCGTCCCTGCATGTGATTGATTGCCTGGCATTTTTAATTGGACAATCTTGCAACAATCAATCAAATGGGTCTTGCAGCTCACCACCATTTCTCTTGTTCTTTTTCTCGTCATCCTCATATGCTGAGCATTATTTTGTTTGGTGGTGCAGCACCAATACCAGGGTGCAGCAGCAGCAGCACCAGAAAATTCATGGCACCCACCCACCCAGGATTAGAAACACGTGTCAAATTATAGTTGACAAATGGGTAACATCAAGCCACAACATCAACACCACACAAGCCCATCGGCTGATCATTGATCAGCCTGCCTCTTTCTTTTTCATTTACTGCACTCTTTGCTTGCCACAGATACCTTCTCCTATTGCTCGCCTTTATTCCTATGTTATAGATGTGTGATCGAAAAGACTGCAAATTGCATGCATAAATGGAGTCGGGTACCTGACACCGATATAGACAGATTGCCAAGTACAGCATGAAAGTCCTATGACAATCAATTTTTCGTTATCATCACGCTATCATTTTACAGCTTGTGAGAATTTCACGGCAACAATGTTTGCACATGCCTAGCAAAAAGGATCCCATTTGAAAGGCACGATCTACCATGGGTGCGACCCTAGTGGTTGTGTTATCCCAAACAGTGATTCCCTTGACCGACCCAGAAGCATGGTAAAGGCTGTAAATAGAAACAAAATCACGTGCATTCGCCATTTGGCATTATGAATGAATGCTTGCAACATCCCATTTTATGTATCGCACTTTGTCAAGCAACGATGTTGATGATGATGATGATGTCGATTTTTGTTCTCCCATCTTCTACTATCATGGTTACATTATATGCAAGGAGAAGGGGATAAATGGATCATCCCTCATCTTCAACGTGGATGGCAGCAACAGCAGCAGCTACATAACACACGCACATACAACACCTATATACCGCCTCAACGTCGCTATTATAGTGCCTGTTTCTCCTATTCCATGCATATGTAAGCAGCTTGGGAGGGATGTTTCCTTGGCGTTTGCCGATCCAGGCGACCTATCCTAGGGGTGTAATTGCATATGTACACTGCCAAATGCTTTACATGATCAGCATAATGATGACGATGATGTCCATGGTAAAATAGTCTATGTAGACACGCTGCTTTGTGTGTGTGCAGGTACATTTTCGCGTGCATGGTAATAACAAATATAGGCAAAAAAGAAGGTGATCGTTCTCAAATAAACAAAAATCAGTTGAGTGGCGCATGATGCGTGTTTTGTTTATGCGGGGGGATGATGCAGCTTGCAGCATTGCGCATGGTGTACCTGAGGAGAGAGAGAAAGAAGAAGAGTGACGACAAATTTATGCAAGATGGATCATCAACAACAGCACCTGACGACGAGAATAAGCAAACGTGCTGTCTAAAACTGGTTTTTTTTTATCTCAACACGATACACAAAAACACGATGCGAGCAAATGGATTCATTCATCATACATTTACATATAATCCAGGTCCCTTTTTATGCTTACTACTACTGCTTGCTGCTGCTCGATTCGCGCGCGCCTCTCCCTTTGGGTGGCACATGGAGCACAAGAAAGCCTGTGGTATATCGTGTCACATACCCTATTGCATGTTTCTCCATTTTGCCTTGATCAAAGTCGTCATGATGATAGATTGTTGGCATCATGTCCGACAAACGCCTTTTGCATATGATTGCAAAAAAACGCCTGTTAGGTGTGCCACATGTACTCAGCAAGTGTCAAAAATGGCACTTTGCATGGAACAGGTTTTTTTTCATCCTCCTCAGCCCGACACATAACAACGTCTACATCAAGCAACCCCCAAAAAACCTATCGTTTGTCGATGTAAACCTTGCAGTGATATCCAGTAACCGGTTCTTCCGAGAAGGTTTGAGTTTATCGCTTACAGCACACTTTTTTTTTTGCATGTGGTGGTGAAATCCGAGATAAAATAGAAACAACCGAGACAAAGAAAAAAAGGATGATGTGCCTATGTTTGTTGTTGTTTTGTATATGTGTGTGCATGTAAGGGTGGTCTGTGTGTGAAACGAAGACAACAGCCAAGCGCCACTGAAACTGCCATTATATCAACATCTCAAACGCATCCGCTTTTCCCATACAACAAGTGATGTGATAAAAAGGTGTGATGAGTAGAAAACAAAAAGTTGTGTGCCGCTTGGCAACCGATAGCCAAATAAGGTTTGTGAGCAAGAATTTAACGACCTTGCGACCTGGCAACACAAATCTGACGAGTGTCGGGTGTACCTGCACCAACAAGCATACATAACAGAATAACGGGGAACTGGGATCCGAAATGTGTGTACCACCCAACACATATACACACCCATTACCCGTAATAATGATGACAAGTGGGCTATCACCATTGAACAACTTGATACCACCAGCACGTTGCACTACTACAACTAGCAGCAGCAGCATCGGCAGGTTGTTGTTTTCCGCTGCAGGTGTGCTGCGCCTTGTTGCTGTGATCCATGTACATCCGCATGATTATTCATGCAAAAGGGATATGCAAGAACGGGTTGTTGCAATGGTGGAGTGTGTAAGGGGCGAGGAGGTAAAAGTATATGTGTTTAGCTCTTGTTGGGAGTGGATCACATTCTTTATGCTCTCTCTCACACTCTCTCTTTCGTTTGTTGGCTCTCCTGAAGGGTGAAGTGTGTGTATGTGAACAAGGTAGTAATGCCCTTTCTTTCTTTTCCTTTACCTCCTTCTCCCTTTCCAGCCAATATCCATGTACTTTTGGCATTGTTTCCATCACTCAAGTAGAGCAACCCCCTCATTTTCCCCCAATCCAACATCGTCAATTACAAGCGTCAACTCCGTATCACGCAAGCACAAGCATGATGGGTTGCGTATTTGGGTTGGTGATAGATGTCGCACACAGTGTAACAAAGAAAAGCCTGGAATGGGATCGATGGTGAACATGTATTATTTTAGTTGACGCGGCATGACGAAAACGGCGTTTTGCCCATTTGTTTCTTTGTTCATGCATGAATAATGTGCTCTCTTGTCAGTATTTAAGACAATGTGCTGATATACAATGATCACAAATACACACATGATCCTTACACACCATCAACCCCTTTATACACCCCCCAGAGATGTGCTGATGGCCCACCAGATAGGGCAAGGTTGAGATGTGAGCGGGGACACAAACAAGCCAGCACGAGAGAAACACCATTGTTGTTTGGCGGGAAAGTCGGCTTACTAGATGCAACTATGTGCGTACGTGTGGCCCGCTTTGAGAGCAGTGTTCCCCTATCCTACCTTGCACTGTGCATCCTTGTTCTCGCACTTTATCTTTTCGCAACCATCACGCCTCGTTTCGCCTCATGCATTTTGGGCTCTTTTGGTCTAGTCGGAGCATGCCGATGTTTTTGTTCCCTTCTTCTTTGGGCACACAACACATATCCCACATCCCACTCATCTTTAACAACTTTTTTTTAGAGCGGGTGTGGCGTTCCTTTTTTTAAAAAGCCTTGCTTCTTTCTTTCCTCCATTCCTTAAATCAAAGAAACGTTTCTACAGACAACTTTTTTCTCTCTTTCTTTCCCCCTCTTGCTCCATTCTTTGGTTTCTTTCAACTTGTACTTGTCGATTCTAGTAGTTACCCCCTTTCTTCTTTCTCTATATCATATTCTGCTCCCCTTTCCCCTAATCCTTTTTACCTTTTTCCCTCTCGCACACAAGCTTTTCTCTCTCTTTCATTCACTTGCCCTAAAACGCACCCATACGCACGTATACGCGCACACACCATACGCCCGCATCAGCCATTGTCTGCGACATCATACCTATATATATAAATACCGCCATCCAACCCCTTCCACTATACCACCAAATGTCAGATATCCCATTGGAGCACCAAGTAACGATTGCAACCCTCGATGATCTTTCACGAGAGCTCGAGACATTACTCGATAGCTTTTGCTCTGATGCCCAACATCGGTTTCTCCTTGAGCAACGAGTCGCTACTCAGCAACAACTTCAGCGGGTACGACACACAATCCAGCAAATCCGCAACACCGCTTCCCCAGCAACAGGATTTCGTTCAGGACCCAACAGCGAAGCATTACGTCAATCGTTGATGCGTGTGTGTATCGAGATGCTCGAGTATTATCAAGAGGCATGTCAACAACGGCGATTACGACCTTTACCGGATGGGATGGCTCAGCAATTAACGGCTGATTGGCATCATCTCAGCCAAGCATTTGAACTCAAAGCCAAGGAACAAGGCAACCTATCGCAATTGTTTGACAAACTTGATAGCTTACGCAAAGCATGGAAATCAAGTGGTGGTGATGGTATCATGGAAAGGCTATTGAGTCGAAATTATCGTCGCTCCAAATCAGGTAATACGGATGGCAATGGCACCCATGGTGGTGGTGTTGGTGGAGGACAACAACAAGCATCACGACATCAAATGGAGCGGTTGTTAACAGCCTTGTTGGTGAATTACGAGCTCAAGAATGGTGCCTATGTGGTCATGGTGGATCGACACAATTACTGTCAGCTGGGATTGGGACGCAAGGCGATTGGCACTCGACATGTCGTATTTGATTGCAGCAAACTCACTCGACAAGAACAAATGGATGTGGTTGCTGGTATTTGTGATCGATTTGCTTCGGTATTTGCCCAGAATGCGCAGCATAACTTGGCACAAATTGAAGCACAAATTCAACTTGCTCAGCTATCCTTACTCGCTGAAAAATTAAGGAGACTTCAACATCAAATCTACTTTGGTCATCATCATCCTACCACCACCACAGCCACGGCTTTAACAAACGATGATGAAGACGATGATCATGCACAGCCACATCAACAACAGCGTTCACCTTCATCATCATCATCCATATCGAATCAACATGACGATGTTAGCAGCCTCGATGTCGATCGTCAACGTCAACAACAACAACAATTGCCTCTGAGAGGCACGTCATCTTTATTGTACATCCAAGATGCTAATGCCATTGAAGACATGCCAATGCCATCTTTTGTGCCATCACCATGGGAATGGCCAGATTTACTCAAGGTGCGTCATCCATACCATCCAGTGTTTTTGGGTCTTGTAAAACGACGACGACGACGATCATCCCCTATCATGCGACTTCGAGATGCTTTTACACATCCACCACCACCACCGCCAACACAAGCAGCAATGAGTGAGGATGAGGATAATGGGAATGAGCAGCAAGTGATGCAAAATTATGTTCAAGAGGTACAATACCCCGAGATGGTACGCTTTGCAAGTGTATCCATCCCTAGCTTGTGTGGTCATTTTTGTCGCCGTGGACGTCAATTTTATGAGGATGTGGTTGCAAATGCTCAAGTGCGGCAGTCTCAAGATCGTCATTTGCTGCAAGAGATTGGTCGTGACCTCGTCAAGATATATGCCGCCATACAACTCGAAGCCTCAAGAGCCTACATGCATCGAATTCTCGCTATTTTACATGACATGTCAATGCTTGAGCATCAACTCAATAGCAGTGCAGCCACCACAAGTCATCATCATCATTCGGTAGCAGCACCAGCATGGGATTCATCCGCCGTAACCACTGGAGCAGCATCATCCAATCCACCACCACCACCACCTATAGCTGGTGTTCCATCCTCATCCACATCGCCTGCTGGTGTTGATCCATCCTCTTCTTTAAGTCCACAACAACATCCACCTGCTGATAATTCCCATGTTTCATCTTCTTGATTTATCTTGTTCCTAGTACCACCCCTTCCTCCCCAACATGTCATTATCATCCACAAACACATAACAACCTCCCCCCTCTATCTCTCTCTTTTCACTCCTCTCATTATTTGCCATATATTGTTTCTTATCAACATCCTCAACTTACCCCAACATTGGATGTTTTTGTTGTTTCATGGATATTGTACGGTTTAGACATAGACTAAAAAACTGGTACCATTGTCATCAATCAATAATAAAAAGAACGCTGTTCTTTCTCTCTTTACTTTCTTTGTCATCCCATTCTCCTTTTAATTGTACATGTGCATGTGCCCTGAGCAAGGCCAACCTCTTGGTGGATGCTCAAAATAGTCAAACTAACCCTATCATGTGTACATACATCCTACACCCCTTGCTTGTTGGTAGATGCGCACAGAAGAAAATCCATAGTAAGGGGGTTGCGAGAGGAATGGCTCGGATCCAAGCACCCGTTGACATGCTTCCATTTCGAGTTGGGCCCCCACCACAACCACCACTTCAAGAACATTCATGGAAATTAGTGGGTGATAATGAAAATGTTGTTTTGGTGTACTACAGCCTACTCCTTCTCCTCATCTCATATATGTCCTTCTCTCTCCCAAATGAACCTTATTCTAAGCAAATCACATTCATCCATGCAAATTGAAAAAGTGGCAGTGTACTTCTGCTGTCAAATGAGAACAAGGAAAGATGCACGGTATCCGCTCTTTTTTTTCTCCTTTTTTGTTGTCTATTCTGATGAAACGAAAAAAACGATATAGGGTGGCGTGTGTGTGTGTGTGTGTGTGTGTGTGTGTCACCGTTGATAAAGAATATGTGTATGTATAAATAATACTGGTACAAGGTTTGGCGAATGTATAATAATATCCTCCTATCATGAAGCAGCGGGTTCATCGGTGGATGTTGATGATGATGGTGGTGCTGGTGGTGATGGGAGATATAAACCATGCTCGTGAATGTAATCGATGACAGGATTGGGAAGTAGATACTTGATGGACATCCCCCGCTTGACAAAAAGTCTAATTTCCCAACCTTGTAAGATTGCTTGCTCCTCCTCCTTTTTACCACATTTCCATCCATCCAATTACCTGATCTTTGTGGAGCTGATATCATTGTGAATGAGCTGCTTGATGACTGTGACATTCATCTACAAACCAACGATTAGCATTGCATGAACGCATCCATTAACATGATTTGCCTACTTACTCTATGCTGATAAAGGATATCATGCGATAACAAGAATCCAAATACGTCTGTGCCCGTCCTTTCGATAATAACAGATCCATAGTGACCCACAATGTGATGTAACTAGAACAACAACAATGCCGTTTAGTGCAATTTCTACATACGTTTTCATGATGGTAACTTACATCCTTTGGAGCCCATACACCAGGATGGCCGAATGATGCAATTAGGTCACCGCCTGCCAGAAGCATGATCCTTATTTTGCGTTGCTCGCCTAATTCATTTGATATACACATATAAGACATCGAAGTTGCAATTGAATTCAATTTACACTTACCGGACTTGGTTCGGATACCTCCTCCGACAACATTGAGTTCATGATCAAAGTGATCCAAAACGACAGCGGTACGTTGATAGGTGGTTTGTCGTGGTTCCCAAGAATCGACCATGAGCCAGTCGGATGTTGTCTCGACAGCAAGAGTGCACATTTTGACGCGATGCTTTGCCTTGGCTAGACCTTCTTTCATGTAGGCATCGGATACAGGGGAATAGTAGCCTGCCAGCAGTTCATATTCGTTTCGCTCCTTGAAGTGATCTTGTGCCATTTCTATATTGGTTGTCCATTAGGATGACTCATCCGATAGATCATGTATTGCACAAACGCACACACACATTACGACAACCACCACCACTACAACCACCAACATCACCATCACCATCACTTACCAAACATCCTTAAGTGAAGATACGTAATGGGTGAGAATGAACCACAAGCTACGAGTACAAGAGGTGTCTTGCTATCGTCTACCATAATAAGAGTTAATCATTGATACTTGTATATAGCTATCCAGTCATGTGTGTATACACACGCACCGTACCTTGCATGACCTCTGGCAAGTAATGGCGTGGAAAGACATAATCGTCGTCAAAGCCGTCAGCACGATCGGGTTGTTGTGAAGGGCGATCTGGAGAGGGTGATGGTGTATTGTTTGTGCTCATGACAGGCTTCTTTTTCTCTCTCTTTGTGTGTCGATGGGTTGTTGGTTGGAGGAGGATTAGGGCGCGTTGGAAAAAGACCGGGAAAGAAACGGGAAGTGAACGAGAATCAGAATGTGAAGATGTGCCCTTGCCCTTTGGTCGCTGACTCTGAAAGCAAGCTCGCATCATTGATAAGATCTGGATGATGACAAACCAAACGCTTATGTTAGCATGATTTACTAGATAATGTTGCTATGTTACACGTGCCTATTGACACAAGATTTCTGTATCCTATTTATGAACAAAATCCTCCAATACACCAATGGTCATTCTTTATTTGTCATAAACGACATTGTACTGGTAGAGGAATGGTGACAACAACAAGTTGTGTATATCGATTTGAATGATTCCACACCATCAATTAGACTTGCGTTGAATCTTAATCTCATTCATACACATTCCATGGCCATCATGCAAGTACGACGTGCTCTGCTGACTCTTAGTCAGATGGTAGTTTGCTAAGAAGCATCATAGGTTATCCAAGGATTGCAATAGATTGCATTATGATGATGGTGATGGTGCATAAGTTTCCCCCTATTTCTTATGTAGCACATTTCAAAAGACATCATGGCTATGTGAACTGCTTCCTGGAATGAATAGTGCGTAGGTAGTAGATTCCATCCAAAGCGCCATCCTGTAACATGCAAGTGCATAATGCCAAATGATCTCCCTTTCTGTAACGAAAAACTCAGCAAGTGCATGTTCAATGTGCAGGAGCCACACACACACGCACACGCTTCTTTCTTTATTCCACCCAGTGTGCACTCTATATTGAATTATGGCAGAAGGTATACTATTCTTTCTTTTCCTTCGTCTCTCCTTTAGAAAATCGCCCCCTTTTTATTATCATTGGGTGTACACCATGTTCAAGTCAAAGATGAGCGACATGCCCTTTATTCATACGCGTTGACAATGAGCTCATGGCACTATTGGTAACTAGTTCCACGTAATTTTCGACTCCTTGAAGAATTGGAGAAAGGCGAAAAGGGGATTGGCGATGGCACTTGCAGCTATGGGTTGGCGGACGACGACTTGCTTATGCATAGGTGGCACGCTACTATTCTCGGACCTCCTCACGTAAGCCCAAAAAGATGATGCATGATGGTCATGGGTGACAACGACGACGATGACAACTCACAGGATCAAGGGTCTTCTTCTACTACTACTACTACTACTACACCACTTTTGTGTCTAGTCAGTCCATGAAAACCGCATCTACAGCTTGACCATTTATTGTGGTGACGATTATCCTGATGCTCCTCCTACGGTGCAGTTTGTATCTCGCATTAACATCCCCAGTGTGAATCCACAAGATGGCAAGGTACGTATGTACCTATTCCATGAGATGGTTGTTGTTGCTAATGATGTTGGCGTACATAGGTTGAAAAGAATCGCTTGCCATGCCTTGCTCAGTGGCGTCGTTCATCCACCTTGGAGACCATTCTTTTGGAATTGAGGAGGTAGTGTTATTATTATCAAAAGTTCAATGATGGGACAAAAAGATTGAATGCTCGCTCTCTCTCTCTTTTAGAGAAATGGCCACGGTCGGTCGTAAGTTACCCCAGCCTCCAGAAGGTACCAACTTTCAATAGCGGGTAGAGAAGAAGAAGAAACACAATGTCATCCAACCCCACCTTCCACTTGGCTCTTTTCCGATATATCTGATACCACATCCATCCATCGCTTTTGCCTATAAAGGACTTTATCATTTTGTAACAAGGAGGATATTAGTGTAATGGAATGGGATAGGAGTGAGGAGAATGCAATGCCAACAATCAATCTTTCAATGAAAACACAGAGAGTAAGATTTATATTTATACACCAGTATACAAAAAAAGAAGGCCATAATATATAAAATGTACGTGAAAGAAACAATGATCTATATACAAGCCACAATGTACGAAGAAGCATCAAAACGTATATATGCAAGAAAAGGTGATTTATCCATTAGGCCAAGTGGCAAGCATGTCGTTGGCTGTTACAGGGAGCATCTTGTCATTGGCAGCAGCAGCAGCAACAGCAGCCGCTGCAGCAGCCGCTGTGGGTGGCATTTGGAGCCATTGTGCAGCAGCTGTTGGATGACCTTGATGATTTAGAATACCACGCTGATGATGATGTTGTCGCACTCCTGCAGCAAAGGATGGATTTTGTTGTTGTGGCGTCACATTTCTCCAAGATGGGTGTTGTTGATGTTGTGTAGATGAGCTGGGTTGTGAAGACGACGTTGGCATTTTTGAACGTGCATTTGTAGGAGCCATCCATGCATTGGGAGTCGTTGTGGTAGGTTGAGCCAATGGATTCCCCATGTTGAAAAAGTAAGGTACCATATTATGATCATCCCCTTCCGTTTCCCCTGTTCCACCCTGTTGTTGTTGATGTTGTTGAGCAGTAGTAGTAGTAGTAGAAGAGTAAAGCTGCTGTTGATGATGTTGATGATGATGTTGCTGATTCGATTGGACGATTGGATACATTCCCATCGTAGCTGTAGTCGAAGTGGATCCTAGCGTGTTTGGATGAAGCGTTTCGAGTACAGAAGCTTGGAATGGTTCATCTCGGTTTCTTTGTTGCTGTTGATGAGAAATAGCACTCCAATTCTTTGGCATTTGTTGTTGATGCTTGGGTGGTGGTGGGAGTTGACGAGGAATACTATCATCATTGTCTTCCAGAATACCTGTAATGAAAGGCTCAGATGATGATGTCGATGATGATGAGGGTGGCGGCAGTGGTGGTGCTACTCCTCCTCCTCCTCCTCCTCCTCCGGACGATGCACTTTCAATCGTAGGCCTTGTCGTGGTTGCTGCCGTAGTAGTAGAAGAAGTGGATGGATTATCCCGCTCGCTATTGAAATTGGTCACTGTCGCAGCTGCAGCTGCTATAGCATTCGCTTGAATGTCCATCAACAAAAAGCCTCCATCATCTGTGTAGGATGGAAATCCAACAAATGGTTCTTCCGCAAGTTGATCTGGCACTGGAAATGTGTTGGGGTTGGTTGGCATTGTTGTTTGTTCATTCCCGTAACACGATAATGCATCCATTGATCCTCGAGTACGCTTCACAGGCATGGTCGAAGAAGCAAATCGCCGTTTTTGACCTCGTTCGGAAATTGATAATGATGGTGTAGGAGCTGTAGTGATTCCACCACCAAAGTCAACTCCTTGCGTTGCACCGTTGCCATGGTGATGATATGTTGCAATGGCTGAATTGCTCCTTAGATCCTTATTGTGAAAAAGCTTGTCGAGTTGTTGGCGGTCTACTTCATTGCGGGCTGGATACATGTATCGGGTCGTGGATGATCTGAAAAGGTCATCTGGTAACAGAATATCATCCTCATCCTCTGCAAGATTACGACCATTGTCATTGGCATCCTGTTGTTGCTCCAAATGGGTCGAGTCCAGTTGCCATGTCATCTCCTCCGATGATGGATGAAGCTGCTGCTCCTCTTGTTGACTTAATGTCGTTGATGTAGTAGTAGTAGTAGTCAATGTGCCACTAGAAGATGAAGATGATCGAGAGCAGCTAGTTGATGATCGTCGTACAGCTGCTTGGATCTCATCCAATGTACTGGAAATCACACTGGCTGCTGATACTTGTGAACAAATGGGATTCAATAAACGACGCAACTTGAAAATAGGCAAATTGGTATCTGGTATAGATGACTTTTGAGAGGATCCTCGTTTGTTGTTAATAGTAGTACTGGTGGGATGGTGGTGGTGATGTAAGCTGTACAATGTTGAAATGGTGGATGTTGCAAGACAAAGGGGATATAATACAGCTGTATTAATGGGGTCATGCTGTTTGCTGGTCTTTGTCATGGGAGCGTGATATTCCATTGTTAATCCATCGATAATGTCCACAATCTTGGCAGCTGAACTTCCACACACATCAAGAATCATACGTTCATTGTTGTTGTTGCTCGTCGTCTTGCATGGATCATCTTGTTGCTGACATGAAAAGAGCTGTATTGAAAGTACATGATGAAAGAGTGATAGCGTGCACGCCGGGAGATTGGTCTCCTTGATATTGCAAATGCCCGTTTTTTGTGCCAATTGATCCATTTCGTACTACAAAGAATACCAAATCAATATTCAATCACCAACACAAGCAAAATGACATGTACCTTGATATCCATACAATCCGTCTCTGTATGGGTAATGCGTTGTAAAAAGTCCACGTAATCGACGACGGCATGCAATGCCCAATCTTTTTCTGATGATAATGGGCAATCACGAGCAATCTCCACAAGGTTGCCACCATGGTCAGTCATATCCCGATGAAGATAAAATGACATCCATATCTGCCATGCATTGAGCACAATATACATCTTTCTCCATCGATCCTCTGTAATCCGCTTTGTGCTGTTGTTTCTCCTCTTGTTGTTTTTACGGCCATGTTGGCTATCAAAGGCCTTGATCCTGGCACCAAGTGAACATCGTGATGCATAGGCAATGCCAAGATGGAGTACCATATAAGCGTTTTCCTGGCACAATGCTGTACAAAGATAATGCGTCAAAAGTATAGCGACCGCCACCAGTCCAAAAAGCGTCTCCGTGTCCTTGGATGTCGCTGTTTCAAAAAACGTCATGCGAAGGAAACGGTGTTGCGCCTCCTGAGCAAATGCAGCAGCACAATGTTCCAGCGTCGTTGCCATGTCATTGGATAATAGGATTGCAAGTGATTGGAAAGCTGCACGAAATACGAGACCAAGAATAGCAAATAGTGTGGTGGCATCTTTGGTATTAGGCACATTGTTCATGTGACTTAGGAACTGAGGACACAAGGTGTTGTTGCGTAGGTTCTCAATATCAAATAAAGAGCTGTATAGCAAATGATGTCGTTCAAAAATGGTCAATGCCTCCTCTAACAAATCTCGTATTGCTGATGTCGTCGTTTCTTGTTGTGAAGAGGATTGCTGTTGAGTGATAGCGATTCGATGATAGTGTTTGAAACGTCTAATGAATGTTGACCATATGGTGTGGGGTTGTGATGTGAAATGGAAAAAGTCATACATGAGTGGTGGTAGGCATTTGTTGTTATTGAAGAGTTGACTACGATGGATGATTGAATCGTTATTGTATTGTATTGACATTGCACTGTAAAGGTCGTCAGAGAAAGATATTCGATCAAGGCGTTCTCGAACAAAATGATGTCGTTGTTGTTGATGTTGCTGTTGCTTGGGTGATGGAGATGGTGAAGGGGAAAGTGGTTGACGACAGGGTGGTGAAGAAGAGGCTGCTGCTGCTGCTGTGTTGCTGGTGGTGTTAGTGGCGTTTTTTGAAACTGGGTCGCTTGATCGTCGTCGCCCGCCAGCTCGTGGTTGTTGTTCCGCATAGCTACACTCGAGACTTTGTTGCACACATCGTCCACAAGGCTTCTCTTGAGAATGGGAAGAAAGCAACATTAACAACACAATGTCAAGAACTATCTCTCATTCACGTACTGCCATCGCAACGAATCTTCTTCCTTCGACATTGTTGGCAAGCTCGAGGCACCTTGTGACGTTTAAAAGGGAAATCCTGAGTGGATGAAGTGAACCAGCGCAACGAGGCCAGTGTCATTGTTGTGTGCACACGTGTATGACAGTTTCAGAAATAAGAAAGAAGAAAGAGAGAGAAAGGGAAAGAGAATGGAAAAAAAAGGACAACAAAGGGGGGAAAAGGGTTCCAAACTAGATTTTGGTCTCGCGTGTGTATATGTGTGGATGTGTGTATGTGTGTGCGCACCAGGGCTTTTTTTTTTGCTTTCCTTACCCCACCCCCACTTTTTCTATAATCCACACGATCGTCTTTTCATGTTTTGTAAAATGATGGATTCGTCTATCTATCCTTCATGTCAAAAAGTCTATTCTTGCTTATGTGATGTATGCAGTTGTATGCATCTATCATCGGATACATAAGGCATTGCATTTCTCCTTTCTGTTTTCCTGCACAAGCATGCCCAATCCCTTTTTATTTGCCCGCCAAAATTTTGCTAATGATATCCAGACGACCACTTGTCTTTATTCCATTCGATTAAAAGCAAGGATGAAAGAAGATGAGACGACGTACCGTTAGCATTGGCGGAAGTAGGCAAAGTGCGACCCGAGCCGACGATAATCATGACACACGAAAAAAGTCCCCCATTATGCGTATATTGTGTGGTACCATCAAGAAGAAGAATAACCTGCTACTACTACTCATTCGTTGGCTGGTTGGCTTTTACGCTCTGGCAATGAATCACGCTTATCGTACACATGACCGGACACAAGCTAGTGGTGGCGTCTAGGCCTCTCCCCTTTTTCATTGTTTGGCTGAGTGATTATGCTATTATTGTTGTTTATTGTACTTAGAGAGTGATTAGGCCTCTTTACATGTACAACCCACATCCCTTTTCTCACTAATCGCTTTATGTGCTTGTTGTTGTATAGGTGGCACTGGTGGTGATGATGTACATAGGTTACGGATGTGGTAAACCGATCCCCGCGTCGTCTTGCAAAAGGGGAATGCCGATATGACAGCAATCTTTGTGCAACATGGCTCATTCCTCCATGTGCTTTCTTGTAGTAGTAATATTAGCTATCATCCCCCATCATCTTGATGTATCAATACATTAAAAGGGCACAGCTATTTGTGTAGTCAACACTTAGCCATCCTAAATGAATGATTGATGAGGGCTGCTGGTGGAGCCAATTGGTTTGAGATTCAGTGATGAGAAGTAACAAGGAGGCGTGTATGTGTATGGGCGTGTGACGGATCCATGTGTGCATACGCACGATCGGGTTCTCGTCGTTTAAGTACCTTTTGTGTCACCAATGCTCCCGGATTTTGTACAGGTGATTCCGATGAACCAGTGTTACAACAGCACGGTGCATCATCATCATCCCAGCAAACCTGTCTATGCACAATTCCATGCACCCACAATATCCAAATCATTCAATCATACGTTATTAATGCATTGGGGCTTCAGGTACCTACGCAAGAAACAGGTCGCCATGTAGATTCACACTGCTGCATCGATGATGTTACTGATGTAGTACAATCCGACCACTTTTTTCGGTCGCCATGAACCACCAAGCGAACATTTGAAAGTCTAATTCATATAGATTCTTGCTACCAAGAATGAGATTTACAAGCGTATCTCTTTCCATTTCTCGCTGCAACGATGAATTGGTCATTGTAAATACACTTCTTTATTATCATAATGGTTTGCATATGGAGGTTTCACCTATCAGAGATGATCTAAATTCAATGCTAGAACATCTTTAAACCCGAATTTTACGCAATGCACGTTGATCATTAGCAGCTATGCAATTATCGGCAGAAACCGAAGCTCAACGAAGCGGCGATTCCTAAATTGCGTTTGTGAGGATAGTGAAACGCCTTAGCTGCTATGTTTACTACTACTGAGCCTTAGGTGATCAAGTATGTAGTAGTATAGATGGAGGAGTTGTCATCTCAAAGGAGGTACTTGATCATTCATTCAGAGCGTTGACCGAAAAAGCCGATCCTGGTGTACATATAAATACGTTTGCATGTGATCATCCCTCACTCAACATCTAAAATAAACGTGTCGTGCGCAAGGAATCAAGGCGAACAAAGAAAATTCTGTGCAACCCAAAAAGGGAACCTGATTATTGTATGTTTTGAGATGGGAACACGGGTTCCTTTGTGCATAGACATGTTGTTGGCATTGCCTTGCCTTGTTAATCAATCCACATTCACAAAGAACAGCATGAAAGTCATTTGCACCGCCTTTTAGGTGTCTTTTATAGTAGAAGACTGCAATTCCACACTAAGCTAAAGACAATTCTTTACAAAAGAGCAAATTGGATGGATGACAAAAAGAGGGAAAGATCAGATCCTGTATTTACAGTGGTAGCTAAAGCAAGATTGGTAAAAAAGCGTATGTGCGAAAGAGGGAGGAAAAACGCGTTGTAAAAAGGTCAAAGGAGTTTATGTCGCTGAGCAGTATCTTGCATGATTCATCCCATGGCATACTATTTCATTCCCCCCCACCATGTATGAGTGATACATTATTCCCCTTGCTATGTATTTCAAAACCTACCTTCTTGGTGTATTCGATGGCTGTCTTGTTGTACTTTGGACGATTGGTGTTGTAAATTTCAGCAATGGATCCCACAAGCGCATCATCAGGATTTGGGTTTTGGAGCAATGAAGCTATGGCTTGCAATGCTAAAACAAGGGGGGATGATATGATGTTAATTGTATACTCATAAAAGGCAACATCAGCATCACATCATGTTACCTTGAGCTACTCTGGTGGCAGGTTTCCACACATCGGCCTTGAGTAAATCGACGCAGATGGAGCCATCATCATCAATGTTGGGATGGTAAACTTTGGTAGAAAACTTCATCTAAAAAGGGGGGCGTGTTAAGATCCTTCCATTCCATTCCATTCCATCACCCCATCCAAATGCTTACAGTGGGAGGCTTGAAGGGATACTCTGGTGAGAAGGTAATATCCAACTTGAATCGACCTCCTTGGTAAGGACTGTCAACCTACAAGCAGTTGTCAACAAAGATGTCATATATCCCATATCCCTCCTTGTACTTACAGGACCCTGAATAACACCTATCGTATCAGGAGAGAAAGAAAGAAACTGTTAACAGGTATGGCTCTATAGAATGGAATGGAATGACAGCTCTTCTTACCTTCCCATTTGAAAAGGTCGTCGCCTACAGGACCAGCTGAGATGCCGGGTGGAGGGTTCTTGTTCAAATCACCCAGTTCCTTTGAGGTTGTTCTTTATGAGTGAATGAACACGCTTAAATGTCATGGCAAGGTTACCTTTTGAATGCGTTTCAAAGCCATTTCGTGATGCGCAGCGAAAAAGAGAAGCGGTTGTTGCAAAGATGGGCGTGAGTGGATGGTATATGCGGGCTTGGCTTTCAGCCAATGAGCTGAGATGCGTGGATCTTATTCCCCTCCCTTCTCCACTATTCCTTTTCTTCCCCTACCCACACGACCCCTGCAGCAGTAGTAGAAATTAGCAATTGATATCGTACGTTGTAATGAATAAATGCAGATAATACCATTGTCTACACACATAATTTGATCAGTGGATAACAAAGGTGCATTTCTTATCATAAGCAGCAGAGCCAACCGAATGAGGTAAATGCGCGCTGAGTCGCAGCCATTTGCTGCGCCTGCTTTAATTTCAAGTGAGTATGCTACACGACATACAATGGCTGTGATAGGATAAGGATAAGTAAGAGGATGTAGATGGGTGAAATGGCCCACTATACTATACACCTCATAATAGGGTACTTTTCATAAATCCATCACGTGATGGAGGATGCTTTATTGCAGCTGAAGACACAAGCGTGCTTAGAAATGATGAAAGATCGCCCATATGTACGGGCCTAGTAATCTTGTAGACCCCACAATCACTCACGAATGACATTGGATGATGGACCTTGAAAATGGAACATGCAGTAACTTGACAAAGGCCGTCCTCAAAACCTTGCAGTGTTGGAATGTTTGCTTGATCCAAACTACCTTCCATATAAGTATAAGGGCGCATTTCTTTTATTATGATTGCGACACCTGCCACGATAATGAAATAGGATAAAAACAAAAACTATGTATGATAACATGTATCAGCCCTAATTTCCATGGCTTGCAGCAGAGAAGATCATCCACCGTGCTACACACATTACCTTCATTAACGGTGTAAGTGAGGGATCAAAAGGCGTCGTATCCTTCTTTGGTCATAGAAAACATGAGAGAACGATCAAAGAGCCTAGGTGTGATTATGTCCATTTATGAATGAACAATCGACATAGCCACATTAATTAAGGCAGGTGTCAAACATCAAACATACCTTTATCATCAAAGTTGGGTTTCTAGTAGGGTGGTGATGTTGCAGCACTTTTAGATAAAAGGCGATTGACCACTTTTTCAGCCTCATCAATATATGAGCTCTTCCGTTATTGATGTGTGTAGCCAAATTGAAGGCGCCATATCCCAGTCAACATGAACAACGTTCCCCTTTAAATGACCCATTTCTCTTGTAGCAAGCAGCATGTCATGAAGAATTCAATGATGATGAGATTATAAGATAAACACGTTGTGTCATCCATTGATCGTACTGAGTACGTGTTTGTATACGCTATGTGCGTTTTGGCCACATTGGATCTGGCATCATGCATTTGACGTGCGTGTTGGCGCGGACAATGTTTGTGCAGGGTGTGTTGTGTAACCAACATTTAATGCAGCCAGCTCGATCATTTCGTTTTCCCTCGCTCTCCTTGCACCGCGTGTACCTTTCTCTCCAAAAGGTAAGATCAACGATCCCATTGCAGCACTGCCATGTACTCACATTTCCTATGAAGGTGCTTCTACCAGCTGTTGTCTCCCTCCATTGGCTTTGACTCCTTTCTACACATCCTCTCTTTCTCTCTCTTTTCTTCATTCGTCTCATTACACAGATGCTGTCTACCATTCGAACACGCGCATTACTGCTCCTTAGTACTGCCATCGCAGTGGCTGCACAAACAGGTAAGGATGATACACACACTCTCTTCTATTCAACGTACACGGATACACGTCTTGACTTTGACTTTCACACCAACATGATCACTTTAGCTGAAGACTACAAGGTGACAACTGTGCCTGGGGTCGACGGTGCTATCGCGTTGAACTTTAGTCAATATGCAGGGTGAGTGTGTGCGTCTATAGGGCTGTTACCCTTCATTTAACCATTTTTGATATAGACACATTGAAATCACCCCCGAATCTCATGGCAACCTTTTCTTTTGGTCAATTCAACCTGATGTCGAGACTGAGAAGCTGGTAAGGTTACAGCCATTTGCATCTTCAGGGCACTTCGATATTCATAGTTCAGCGTTTTATAGATCATTTGGCTTAATGGTGGACCTGGATGTTCAAGTATGGATGGTCTCTTTATGGGAAACGGGCCGTATCGTGTCAATCGTGATCTATCCTTAAACGTCACTTCTACTGGATGGCAAGAGCATGCAACAATGGTTTTTGGTAATGAGGAACAGGTTATTTGCTGCTATGTATGTGTGTGTGCTCATCTTTTTGTATAGTGGATCAACCCGTCGGCACAGGCTACAGCTTGGTGGATGACAAAGGATATGCGAAAAATATGGTCGAGGTAAGGTATCATTGACATGCACGTTGGGAACAGCATCTCATCATCTCTGCAAACAAAGGTCATGGATCAATTCGTCACCTTTATCGACAAGCTCTTTGAAGTCTTTCCGGAATATAAGGAGAAGGAGGTAAATTTGGGCAGCAGCAGCAGGGTGATGGATGATTAATCGTGTCTTATTAGATGTATCTGGCAGGCGAAAGTTATGCAGGAACCTATGTGCCTTATTTTGCATCGCGTATGCTTGAATTGAATCGGAATGGGGACAAAAAGGCAAGTATGGATGGGAAAGAAAAAGGTATTTTTGAACTATTATGCGAGCAAGAATATAGTATCGATTGCAAGGAATAGCCATTGGCAATGGATGGATATCACCGCAACATCAGGTAAAGGAACATTGGGATAAGCAACAACAATGGAATACTGAGATATTGATCTTCTTGTAGTATGATGCATATATCGATTTTGCCTATGAGAAAGGATTGGTGCCAGAAGAACACAAGGTATTGATTTGGAGAAACATACAAGTGACCTACGCGCCAAATAACATCGAGTTTTTATTGTACGTAGCCAACCATCGATGTCGTCCACCGGAATTGCAAAAAGCTGCTGCAGTATTCCAATACAATCAAAGTTGACGAATGCGAGATGGTATTAGAAAAGATTGTGGATGCGACGATTTATGAGTAAGCGCATTTCTTTATGATCGCGGGCAAATTTGTTCGTACACAGCTGACAGCACTCATTATCTCATTAGGCAAGATGGATCAAAATACTGCATCAACATGTACGATTCCCGCCTTACATCTCTCGTGGACGATGGCTGTGGTATGGCCTGGCCTGTGGATATCGCTGATGTCACCAATTACATGAGGGTAAGGAAAAAAACCATGGATGCATTAGCTATGAACGTAAAATTTGACCTGTGTATCGAATAGACCTCCGAGGTTATGTCGGCAGTACATGTGGAAAAGTTCAAGGGTGGTTGGACAGAATGTGGATCAAAGGTTGGATCGAGCTTGAATGGTGATAAGAGTATATCTTCGTATGATGTAAGTGAAATGAATGCACCAAAACACGATAGCGTGGGTTATTCATTGTGATCCTCTTTTCTACCATAGCTGCTTCCCAAGATCTTGGAAGAAATTCCCGTATTGCTATTTGGCGGTGACCAAGATCTCATTTGCAATATGCTGGGTATCAACTATTTGATTGGCAACATGACATGGAATGGTGCCAAAGGATTTCAGGTATGTCATATGATGGGTGGTACATGAGACAACAATCCATGATGTATCTAATGGTACATGCTCAAAGGATGCAACGGCACTTGAATGGTATGTTGGTGACACACAAGCTGGGTCGTTTCAGCAAGCAAGAAACTTGAGCCTCGTTACCGTCTATGAAGGGAGCCATATGGTGTCGTATGACAAACCACTTGAGACGCTGGATATGATGAACCGTTTCATGGGTGTGGGTGACAATAAGGCGAACGGCGTGCCAACTCGCATTGTTGGCGGTACTACACCACCATCAACATCCCCAGGCAATAATGATGGGTCACCAAGTCAAGAAAGTGATTGGTCGCAGTACTATGGCATGTAAGTGATACATTGATTTTGTATTACCTATGTGCTTGACGCATGACATTTCTTCAGGGGCACCTTGGCTCTTATAGTTGTCATTTGCTTTGCCGGTGTATTAGGGTACTGCTGGTACAAGTCTCGAAAACCAGCTTTCCAAGGTTATGGACCAACAGGATCGCATATGGATGGTGGCGAAGGATTGGGAATTATTGGTCTTCAAAAGAAACGACATGCCAAATTGCGTATTGATGATCAGGATGATACCAATGAATTGTAAGCTTATTATCAATGGGTTGGCGTACTACTTTTTGCTCATCATGTTTGAATGGCATAGGGATGAACTGGTGATCGAAACGCCTGGTACATTGTTTACGGCGGAAGGATATTCCGATGATGACCGAGGACACCATCAACGTGCAGCGACAGCCATTGCTGGAAACACAATCAGAAAGAAGCACATCCCTGCTAGGTTTGCAATCGAAGATGACGACGACAATGAAGTACCGAACAACACCTTCACACCACCACCAATGAGAGATACACATGCTTAATTAGTAGAACGATTTACCAAATATTTGTTTATTGATAATAGTGTATATCCCCTCCTGTCAAAATGAAATGAAAAAAATGTCATGATTTTAATGTTATGATCGCTTCGTTGTGAATCGGGTAAAAAAGTTACGTAAATTCCTAGCTCTTGATATGATTACAGCTGCCGGTGTGGTTGCTACACCTTGTTGTTGTTGTTGCTCTTCTGATAGCGATGCGTTGTGTTCATTGTCACTCTTTGTATCATCCATCCATTTCAAGACATAACGCTCTTCTGGTGTCGGATTTGCCTTTTCTCGTAACCTTTCCAAAACCATCGGATCAGTTTCCAACTGCATGCCGATACGTTCGATTTCTTCAAAATGCCAGCTGGCTGTTGCTTCACATTCAGCTTCATCGTGATGCTTTAAGCACTCGGTTGCCCAGTCAAATGGTGAAGGCGGCTTTTTGCTGGGTGTATGACATGCCAGCTTGGGTGTCGGTGATCCTGCTGGGAACAAGATAGGTGAAGGGGTTGATGCAACAGCAGTGGTATAGCTATTATTCATGGGCATCGGTGTAGCAATAAAAAGTGAGATAATGAAAGAGAGAGGGATAATGGGAGACGTGAGATGACGAATCAGCCCCCCTTTGTTTCCACATCGGAACTGCCGCTTTATTCATTGTCGGGTTTGCCATGATTGAACAAGCCGATCTTTTAAAGCCGAATGGGTTACACGGTCATTTTTGTGGCTCGATGATACTCCTCCAATCCTCCATCACGCCAAGTACTATACCCAATGTGATCATACGTTCAAAACCTGATGGACTTTATAAAGAAAGGAAATACAAGAACAAATAGCAAAACGAAAATTGTCTATGGATTCGAATAATCATTCAATGAGGTGACTGTGAGCTCAAATCCGAGAGAAGAGAATCCTTTTCGAATATCTTCAGTCTTGGTGGGAGAACTGACGACAACAATGTTACATGCTCCAGGCTTGAACATGTTGACAAAGTATTTCTTGAGTACCCGTTTTAGATCATCCAATGTTGTTTCCTACAACAAATATTGTTTTAGACCCAGGTGTCAATATTTTGACTTTTTTTCTCTCTCTCTCAACCTACCTGAATGGCAGAAAGCAAATCACGATTGTACGACGAAGGAACTTGTTTCAAGACTTGATTCACAAATGATTGTTGAGCAGCACGATCCATCGAGTTTTCTCTTGCGACCATGCTATACATCACAGCACTCTTGGCACCATCAACGGCAGAGGTCTCAATCTTCATCTATATATAAACATGTCCTTGTCATCAGCCCATGATCCCCGCTACTCATACATACGCGCGTTTACCTCTCCACTGGCTAACTGGTCAATGACCATCTTGGCTTGTGCAACGGCCTTGTATGCATCAGGCGACTGGTAAATGGTGAAACTGATCAAACCAGACTCCACATCCGTACTCAAGAAACACGAATAGGCCAATCCTTGTCCTCGAATAAACTTCCAAAAGATGCCTTCCATTGTATCCAAAAGCTCTGACATAACCAACAAGGCTGGGATATCAGGATCACCAAAGTTGCTAGGACCTAACACATAGCTAATGAGTCCCCCTGCAATGTATCAATCACAAAATGGTGTATATACCTTTGACGGTTTGCAAAGAGAACGAATTTTCGATCGTGGGTAAATTGACAACGGTTCCCTGGAAATGCTCAAGGTTGGTATTTGCCTCCCCTCACCTTATATCACAAGAATCAGCGTACTTACAATCTGACCGGGATCGAGACCTGCAGGGCTAAGGACCTGTTGAGCAAGGGTCACTGGTACCAAAGGTTGCTTTGGAGACTGATGAAATGGCAAAATCAGTGTCATGAAAACAAATGCATCCTGTTTCCTTCGTTACCATGGACACGCTCATCTTGGCAAAAGAGCTACGAGGAGCTTCAAGCTTGAGGATGTTGCCAGTGACATGAATACGGATGTTCTCAGGGCGACACACTAGTAAAAGCACATTAGCTTTCATTCCACCTTGATAATCATTTTGATCCCATCACGTACACGCTTCACGGAAAGTGTTCAAATCCTTGATAACCGATTCTGGATCAGTGTCCAACTTTTGAACAATGCCTTGCAAAAAGTTTGCTTGATACAGGACATTACGTGCGGCATTCACAGACTTGCGAGCATCAACCTGCAACGCTCTAAGCACAGCATTGGTCATCTATGAAAAATCCCTCGTGTCAATACAAAAAATAAAACATAGAAATAGGCCTATGTGATACGCACACTGTGTCCATCTCGTTTGGCTTGAGGAATGTCATTCAGGATTTGATAGGCAACAATCTTGAGTCTAACGTAGAGCCGTGTGTGATGATGAGTTACCGAGCCTTACCCTTTCCAATCATTCCAATGTAAATACCTTTCAGCGGTAAATTGCGTATTCCACAGGATGTTTTGCAACCACTGGATACCCTTTTGATACTTGGATGCCTCCGTTTTGATAGTAAACACAAGAATTTCCCGAAAACCACCACCAGCTCCAAGTCCTGCTTCGTATTCCACTGTATCCTCGGCTAAACGAGTGACGACATCCTCATACGAGATAACGTGGCCATCTTCCTCCTCTACTGGAAGCGAAAATATGGCCTTGAGCAGCAATCGTGTGTATGGCAAAAGATGTGGTGGCACAGAGGAAGCACTAATGTGGGCAGAAATCTTGATAAAGCGTGATTGGACATCTATACGATCCCCCTGTCAGTATTGGTGATGGATGATTCCCCTGTATACTTACGGTCATATTGGATGAACAATGGGATTTGAGCACCGTTATCCTTGTTGATATGCGTTTGCACCTCGTTTTGGCTAGGGTACAACAACATGGTGAGCCATGATCCACTTGCAATAGAGCGATAGTAACACTTACAACTTTCCATCATCGTTATTTCGGGCAGTGAGGACGTTGATAAAGTTGATGGAAGACACAGGGGGAATGGTGAAATTCTCAAGAATATCATTGGGCAACGTGACATCGTTGGTTGCCATGGCATCGTCAAGCTTGGCCTGCAATTCCTTAAGCTTTTCCTCGCCAAGATCCTCGCGTTGCTTCTCAATACGCTTCTTTTCCTCTTCAGATAATTGCTCTGCAAATTCAGCCGATGGTTTGCCATAAAGTGTCACATGGGCGGGATCCAGGTACCATCTGTTGATATCCATTAAGCTCGTGTCACTCCCAATTATAGTGATATTTTACCTTTTCAGCACCTTCAACCAATCTGACTTGTCATATCCAGCCAAAATGTTTAGGTATTCTTGATCCTTTACGGTCTCAATCAAATCCCTGCCATCAGGCTCGCCATAAAGGAAGTCTACATCGGGCTCGGTTAATGCATGTTCATGATTTTAGAGACCTCTCCTCGTACACTTACCTGAAATGCAAATGGCAGCGGCCGTATCATGAGCATCCGTTTCAATGCCATCCAACAACTTTAGCATCTCCTTTTCAATGACAGTAGCCATACGGTGCATATCAATGTCGTTTTGCTCAACAAGTCGATGTAGCGTATCAAACAGCATCTTGGGGAACTCATCCATCTCTTCCATAGGAACGTTGGAGGCGGTCAACATCAATGTCGTCTTGAGATGATCCGTGGCATGGAAATCGACATCTATAATCCATGGTAAATACCTTGCCCAAAGACGACGGTATCCTTACGATGCTTACCTGTGCAAAGAGGATCCTCAATCTCTACAAATTCCTTTTGCAACACCGACACAGGAGATTCGGTCAAGTACACGTTGAGGACTTCGAGGGCTTTGATTTGTAAATGATCCTAGTAGTAATGTGTGTGAGTACATGGCATTGATACTCGAGTTGGTAAAAGGACTTACATGACACATAGGACCATTCCATGCAATGAGTACTGTGCCCATTGATTCATCCTCATCAGGGAACAATACCACTTCCTCGACATTCTTGCTTAGATTGGGAAAGTCGCCTGTGCTGATCCAAGGTCTTTGCATGGGAGGTAAAGGCCCCTTGCTGATGATATTGCGTTCAACAGGATCAAGGGCTTGCAATACACGATCATGATCCACCGTGCCAGTGATGACAAGGCATAGATTGTCAGGGCGATAATAATCACGATGATAACCACGGACTATTCATGCATGAATATGTGTGTGTGTGAGAATAAAATCTTAATTGTAACGCAAATATCGTCATAGGGCATATGACTTACTCTTTTCGACGGAGAGCTCTCGGAGACGTTCCATTAATCCACCAGTCTCGGAACGATAGCCACAGCCTTCTGGGAACATAATGCGGCGCATACGCAAGTGTATCCGATCATCACCCGTGTTTTGGCAACCCTGATCAAGAATGAGTTTCTTTTTTAGTGGCATCGTAATACAAAATAGCCTTTCACTTTTACCTGCATCTCACTATAGACAACCTTGACAGATAATAAACCATGCTTTCAGCATACCTAATCACTCACTCACACGCATATAATTTTCACAAGCTTACCCCTGAGAGAAAGAGGGAAAACAAATGTCAGCCTCTTCCACATGATCGATCCACCCAATCATCCATCCCCCATTTACCTGCGTCCTCGCCCTTGCCGTTGATGTGATGAACCTCAGTGTAATATCCGCTATCCGTCAAAGTGGGATACAAGATGTGATCAATGTAAATGGGTAGCAGCTTCAAGAATCCTTCACTTCCAGCCGTGTTGATTGCTATGCAACGTGATCAATATTTACTCATCCACTAAATGCTATCTGCTCCCAGCCACTTACTATAAGCTGTATGATCCACATCGGTCCATGCATTGGTTCCTTGGGCGATTGCACGGTTTGCCAATGAATCCAACACACCCTTCACTTGCATGATAAGTCGATTGCCTTGGTAGATTGGATCCACACACACACACACACACACACAACTTTACCTTGTACGGAAATTGTTCACTTCCAAGGAATACCAAGCTATGATGCATTGTGTGTGTAAGTTCAAAAGTAGTAAAGACATGTGATGTCGGGTTGACTTACTGCTCGAGTGTATGGGGACAGCCAAAATCGTCGAAACCTGAGTTGCAAAGCGTATGCACATAGCAACGTTGAATAACGCTACACCACACTGCACCTTCCAAACCATCATCCAAACCAGAACTTACTCTCAGTTGCGAGTGCAAAATAGCCGTTGACGAGAGGAGCTAGCGTATGTATCAAAGGAGGTTGCCATGTCAGTGATTGTGCGATCCACTTGTTGTAGCTTGATCCGTTTACCTTCAATGTCGGCAATGGCGACTGTCAAGCCGGTCTTTGAGCTCTTGTACTTTGTAAAGGTGATACCATAGTCGGTAGGTATCTTGCACAGCTGTTGGAAATTCGAGTCCTGATCTTTGGCGACCATGGCGAGGAAGTATGGTTGCTGGCTGAGTGAAGAAAGAAGAAGGCTGTGGTGATCGTTGAATTGCCTCCGCACGCGGCATGCGCGTTCCTACATGATTTTAGCCCGTCACGAGGATAGCACACATACAACAGCTTGTTTGGATCACATGAACGTATATCAAAACATCCTTCATACTGGGTATAAACAACATTCTCTTGGATTATACATGTTCACAAAAATGGCATAACAAGTCATCCATTGCTGGGATTTATCGTTGTCCCCCACGCACATGATCAACCTGCTGTGCATTGTTGCTGCTGCTGCTACTATTGCTAGTCATCCCCATCCACTGCTACATAGCACTCGTGATTACATAGCCCTATCTACAGTCGTCCCTAGTAGTAATCCTCTTTTAAACGATAAAAGTGTAATCTGAACATGTTGTTGATGAATGAATGTATGTATTTATGCATGCAACTTTATGTTTCTAGAAACATTCATTATGCATCGAGCAGCAACATTGCATCATCGTAGATGTTGCATGAAGATAGTGACAAGCGGCACATGGGAACCGGTTATAGCTATCCAGCATATTGATGTCCATCTTGAGGTGTTGGGTGATCTCTAAAGTACCTACCTATACTTTTATCCTCTAATGGTGTATCGTCATTATTATAGACCCAACCGAAACGCAATTGGGTGATCGACAAAATCACTAATAACAAATTGTATCAGACCATGCAATACAAAAATATCATTGCCAAGACACCAATGGCACGATCAATGGAATAGATTGAAAACACTAGTGCTAGGGTTGCATCTTCAATGCGATATGCAATCATTCCCAAATAGCCAGCCTGTTGAAAAAAGATGTGCCGATCACTTGGTTCGCCCTTGTCTCTCAGAGTCCGACAATTGGGCACAGCAAAGGTCGAGATCGGTACCCAAAATGTTTGCCGGCTCAAAGTCTAAAGCAACGAGTTTTAAACGAGCATAAAGCAATGCATCATGCCTTGATCATGAATAGGTTGAATGAAGAGGGAGATGTAATATCCTACTACTACTACTATTACTACGCTATGCATGGACATAATGCATCATTTAGTGCAAATGTGAACCAGGTATACGGCTTGGCGCGAAGGCGGAATGAGCATGGATTGGGCGGGCAATACAAGGGAAAAAGGAGGCGGATTGGCTACTCATCACGATTTACTTGGGCAGATTTAGCATCGTGGCTATTTACAACAACAGAGAATTTGCCCATTTTTGGTGGTATAAAATAGAGCGACCTTTCCTTTTTTCCATTTTGTCATTTTTCATTCATCGATGCCACATAATACCTTCACCCCTCCAACGCTACCTGATCACCCTTCCACCAAAGACAACGTCGACGCATTACTGCTGCATACCGTAACAAAGCTCAAAAAGCTGATACGCTGCTCAAAGGAACGCACCTCTTATCAGCACTTGCTGTTGCCGAGCTTATCAACTTTTGTAAAGCACATGTCCATACAATGTCGTCTTTCATCCACCGTGCTTGTGGTCGCCTTGATTTATCTTGCACGGCTTGAACAAAACTTACCTACTCTAGCATGTGGAGGTAAGTACAACAGCCATCCGTTATTTGAATGAAGGTATCAACACAACATGGGACGAATACGTAGAATACGATACACCATACAAGATTTTTCTTGCTTCTATCTTGCTGGCATCCAAATACATTGACGACTCAAGTTTTGTAACAAAAACTATACACAAGACAATAGCACCACTGTATTCCTCTCGTGAAGTAGCCGACATGGAAAGGAGTTTCTTGAGTGTTGTAAAGGTAATGCCGTGATCCTTTTACGCCCTATGCCTTCCTCCCCCAATCCGCTCGTTGTTACACCAAAGCTTACTCTCTCGTTTTTGTGCAACAGTTTGACCTTTACGTTGACTTGGCACATGTCTCAGGTTATGTCCAAGATCACTTACACCATATTGTTCATATACCCCTTATCCCATCATCATCATAGCCCTTTGTGTGCTTCATCTAGCTTTCTATATCCAGCAACGCTTGATTACCCTCTTTTTTTCCCGCCTTTTTTGTTTCCATACCATCATTAAATGACTAATTCAGTATTGTAAATACAACTTGATGTAAAACTTGAAGGCGTGTTTATATTTGCAGATCTGCGTTTGACTTTTCTGTTTGGGTACACGAGCAAAAGCTAACGATGGAAGAATGTAGTCATCACCTATCTACGCATTCTCACAGGTAGGATGTCTACAGCGTATGTGTATGTAAGGAGCCCAATTGTATCCATCGATGATATGCCCTTGATGATGCAGCAATAAATGTTGGATGTTGCATGAACCCTGACAACTGATTCAAACATGAAAGTACAGAAATTGTGGTGGTCTCGTGATTTGTATTTTGCTCTCACATGATCTAAATCATTCAACATCACGACGTGCAGCGAACTATTCGTCATCGCACTCTCTCTCAAGGATTACGTGCATTCGTCATGTTAATTCCATTGTGCTGGTTTATTAGAGATGTTGTGTATGTAATGATAATAGCTATCGACCTCGACCTCGACCACGCATCATTCCACCACGCCCTGATCCACGTCCTCCACGAGCAGCGCCACGTCCTCCACTACCTCCTCCTCGTTTAAAGGATGTGTTGCCCGCCTTCTTGGATACTTTGAGATCCTTTTCAATGTTGGTAATGATGGCGTATCGTGTTCGATTTCCAGGCCATCCTGGCCATCCACCTGGTGTCTCTGGATTTTGCATATTAGGTGCAACAACGATGCGTCCTTCACGAACCGCCTTTTCAAAATCACGTCTCTTTTTGCTCTTTCGTCGCTGTTGTTTCTCTTTGGACTTTTCAATGGTGGTAGATGATGATGATGATGATGATCCTGCTGCTGGTATCACACGATGAGGAAGACGTAATGCTGGATAAGCCCATTGAGATTGTGTCATGATATCATCAAAGCTGACAGCTGCTTCGTTGATTTGTGCAATAAAGTCGGCATCGGTTTCCATGTCATGATCCACCGATCGTTGCTGTGCTGCAGTGGCAATAAGCTCGGCAAGCCGTTCGGCTTCATTATCCTTTTCACTGATATTCACTTTGGCTACTGGCTTGCTTGAGAATAATTGAAATGTGAATTCCTCTTCTTGTTGATCATTTGTCGTCGATGATGCTTCCTCTTCCACTGGGTCATCATCTAAAAAGAGAAAAAAGGGGTCTTAATATCCTTATAAGTGTTATCCATAGCGTATCATCGTACTGGTATCATCCTCGGTGCCACCCATAAGCTGTTGCATCAACAAATTCAGTTTACGAGAGTCGGCTTCACTTGCAGTGTTTGACAGCTCGGCTGATTGATCGTCGTCGTCAAAGATCTCGGTGCGATTGGCCACCTTTGTCCCAGGCATCGTATATGAAGATAGCGGTCCTTTCTTTTCCCTTCTGTTCAATGGGTTGCATTAGCCTTCCATGTCTATGACCTTCAACATGTTGCCTTTACATTGTGTGGTTCGCCATATTGTGCTAAGCGGAAAGAGAGGCTGGATAAATTTGACGCTGCTTATAAAAAACATCAGTGCACCTTCGTTTGATATCAGCGGTTGGACCTGTTAGAAGAATGACATGCTATTTTAACAACATCTTCGTAATGCATGCTGCGTGGTGTGTTTGTGTGTGAGGAGGTCCAAGGAATGGAATGGTGGTGTATGAATCGGCCTGGATGGTCAACGACGCGATACGAGTAGGGAATGGGGAAGCTGTTATACCATCCAAACCAGGGCTGGAGTAGACTGTAGCATCTGATCCAGTTTTCGATATGCATATTTATGTGAGGGGAAGGCTATGTAAAGGAACATGACATGTATACGTGTTGTTTCATCAAGGAAGATCGAACTACTGTAGACTTTATTAAAAGATCCAAACACCACAATGACAGCTATACAATGAAAACGAGATAATAATGAAATATCGATCGCTGACAAAGAGGAATATTCACCAAGACATACTCGCATCAACTTGGGCTGTGTAGGTGTGAGCAATCAAAGAGCGATATGGAATAGTAGAATTGGGCGACAACACCATCGTCTTTGTCATTTTTGCGTGATGTGCGTGGGCAGGTTTGTGATCACAAAGAATGATGAATACTTGTCGAGGCGGATGGGGGGTCTTCACAAAGAGTTTTGGTGTGATGGAATGTCCACGTATGATATGTAGTGTTCTGATATTCGGCATCAACCTCAGTAGCTTCACCCAATCTGCTTGATAGCCAGCCACTAAATAATTTATTATGAACGAGGACTCATACTTAAAAGTCATCATCCTTACCTGTAACGCTTAATTTTTCCAATGAAGGAAAGGAACCCGTTGCATAGCGCGTAAGATCGCAAATGGTTGGTGTGCTATATGCCGTAAGGCTGAGCTTTTTGATGTAAACACTCATTGCTCGTACCCTCATCCAATCCTCCCTTGTGGACAGCTTGTTGCATTCGAGATTGAATTGAATGGTATCATCACTTTGGGAGATTCTTGGCATCCATGTCGTGCATAAAGCAAAGTAGTTCCTTGGGCGACGAAGATCAGAAGCTCTACCCTCTTGGCCCATGATCCTGGGGATAATGTTATCAGTTACGATGTCCAAAGGTAATTCGCTAATGAAATCAACTCCATTGGTGGTATCTGCTGGAATCGCATCGCCATCACCATCTACGAGCCACATCGGGTCGGTCTCTTTTTGAGGAAGAACTACACCATCCATACAAGGCTCTTTTTTATCCACGACAACAAAGGCCGTAGTTGTTCCCATTCATCCTCTCAAAAGAAAGAACCATTCCCCATCTTTCCAATCCTCGAAGGTAAACATCAGCCTATCACGAGAGCATTGCTGTCAAATGGCCCAAAAGGTACAGGTTGGAGTCGAACCCAAGGAGATGATGATGATGCCCAAAGTTGCATTGCCTGACCATAAGCCTATTCCATAATGCATCATTCATTATTATCATACACAATAAACGCCCGTTTCATTGTTTCCGTTCACTGCACGTACCTTTGGGTTACCAGAAGCCGAAAACCATGGTGTAGTGTAGTCGAGCCGAATCAAAGTCAAACGAGCCAACGTCTTCGCGATCGAATCCTGCCATCTATACATACAAACTAGCGCGTCAATGGAACACGTTCTCCTGCTACATTGGGGTTTTGAATGTACCTGGTGCACCAAGTGTGGAAATGCATAGCAACGACGTAACCTTGACTACGACCATCTACACTGCACTCCCTGCCTATGAATATTGACACGTAACCAACAAGAGTGTCCTGTATGGTACATTACCTTGACGCGATTGGATGCCGTGAATGGAGGGTTAAAAGGAGAGGAACGTACGAAAGAGGATGGAGTATCAAGAAACGCGGATGTTGCAGTGGGGAGGTGCACACGCCATGAACCTCGCCATTCAGTCGAAGACAATCGGATCAAGACAGCCGCTGGCTTGACATGGTGAGTTGAAGCAGAACGATCGTTCGCAGGTGGTAGTTGTATGTGCTTGAATGGGTCAACAGTTGAGAATGAGAGGAAGAGAAAATAAGGTGGGAGTGGAAGACCTGGAAATTAAATACTTCTTTCTGAAGTTGTACGATACTTTCTTGTTTGAGCATTGTTCAATCAAATCCAGCCGGATCAAGAAAGTTGAGAGATGGGAATGATGAGCTGGAGCAGGACAATCGTTCGTATGCATTGGTTTGGGTAATAAAGGTGAATGGGGGGAATGGGCTGCTAGCTGGCAGTTTACAAATAACTTTGCAAAATGATTTTTTCATATTGGGCGATACTTCTGTGTTTGAGTGTAACTCAACCAAATCCTCTCAGATAATGGAAGTTAAAGGATGAGCATGCTGGCGTGGAGCAGGAGAATCGTTCACATGCATTGGATTGGGAAACAAAGGTGAATGGGAGGAATGGGCTATCAAGTGGCAGTTTACATATAATCAATCGGGTTGATTTTTCTCAAATTGGATGATACTTCTGTGTTTGAGCGTTGTTCAGTCAAATCCACTCGGATCAAGAAAGTTGAATGATGGGCATGCTCCGCTGGAGCAGGAGAAACGTTTGTATGCAGCCGATTGGGCAACAACGCTGATTGTGAAGAAATGGCTGCTAGCGGGCAATGATGAGCTATTACTGAAAAGAATACGCTGACCCTTCCAATCATGCATAATGAGCTGAGTTACACAAAGAGGTCCTTCTGCATCTTTGGCTCTCCAGCGTCTAGCTACTTTACATTAAACAAAGACCACTCTTCTTATAGCATCACGCTTACAAACATAAAAGTGCCTGTATCTCCACACTTTACAATGAAACGTGGGGTTTTGAATATAGCAATGGGCTCGGCTTGGCCAACTGCACCTTGGGTGCCAGTTTCACGATTAAGCTTGCCAATCCCAGATTTCGCAATGTCGCCACCAGCCAAACTGGATCCAGGGGTCGACCTCTTCGACGACGACGACGACCAAAAAATATTTTTTGGGCTAGTTGCGACATTGAACGTGAAACTTTCACACAAGGTGCTGTTGGCCAAGCCGAGCCCATTGATCGATTAAAAACCCCACGTTTCATTGTAAAGTTCGGAGATACAGGCACCTACCTTTATGTTTGTAATCGTGATGCTGTATGACAAGTGGTCTTTGTTTAATGTAAAGTAGCTAGACCCTGACAGAGCAAAAGATGCAGAGGGTCGTGTTGTGTAACACAGCTACGTTTGCATGAATGAAAGAGTCAATGTATAATTACTTTATGGATCATCTAGGAACAGGCATGTGTTGCTAGCTAGCGGCCACTTTATCCAATCATCATTGTTGCGAGATCCACTGCATGGGAACGATGCCCCTGCTCTAGACATTCATTTTCATGATTAAAGTAGGTTGATCCGAGCTGATTTGACTGAGCTGTGGTCAAAGAGAGATTACATCACTCTGGACATAGAGTACGCTCGATGTAGCTCAACCGATGTAATCTTGTGTGAGCGTAACTCAACCAAATCAGCTCGGATCAACCTACTTTAATCATGGAAATGAATGTCTAGAGCAGGAGCATCGTCCACCTACAATAGAGGATGCACAAAAGTTGGGAATGCACAAAAGTGGCTATTAGCTGCCAATGCATGACATAAAAGTGAGGGTTGCGTACCTGTCATGCATTGTCCCTGAAGTCCTGACTTTTGAGCTGAGTTACCCAAAGAGGTCCTTCTGCATCTTTTGCTCTGCCTGGGTCCACCTACTTGACAATGAACAAAGACACTCTTCATATAGCATCACACGCTTACAAACATAAAGGTGCCTGTATCTCCGAACTTTACAATGAAACGTGGGGTTTTTTATTAGAGCAATGTGCTCGGCTTGGCCAACTGCACCTTGGGTGCCCAGTTTCACGATCAAGCTTGCCAATCCCAGATTTCGCAAATGTCGCCATCAGCCAAACTGGATCTGGGGTCGACCTCTTGAAACTTTTCTTCGACGACCAAAAAATATTTTTGGGCTGTTTGCGACATTGAACGCGAAACTTTCACACAAGGTGCTGTTGGCCAAGCCGAGCACATTGCTCTAATAAAAAACCCACGTTTGATTGTAAAGTGGCAGATACAGGCACCTTTATGTTTGTAAGCGTGATGCTATATAAAGAGAGTGGTCTTTGTTCATTGTCAAGTAGGTGGACCTGGTAAGCAAAAATGCAGAGAAGTTTTCTTTGTATAGCTCCAGCTACTTTGCATGACTGCAAGGATGGAAGGGATGATATTGCATACTATTGACAATAGCCCATACATTGGCTGCTAGCAGACATTTTTCACAAGCAAGCGTTGTTGCAAAGGCCACTTCATGTGAACGATTCTCCTGCTCCAGCCGAGCGTTTCCATCATTCAAGTTTCTTGATCCGAGCCGATTTGAGTGAGCTACGCTGGAACGGCAGAGCTTGAAAATTAATGAATCGCAGACCCTGCGAATGTCTCCGTCTTTCCAAACTTTTGGACGCTCCCATTCCAAATTTTCAAATGAAGCCTGAAGTTTTTATTAGAAAAAGTTGATCAGCATGCTCGAGAGCACCCTTCTGACCAATTTTCAAGTTGGAAGTGAACAACTTCGGGGCGGTGGGCCGTCCGCTCTTTTTGTTGCCCATCATCCACCGTTTGGGCCCTCCCGCATTCAAAACACCCTTAATGAAGTGTATGGTTTTAAATGAATGAAGTTGATCAACGTATTGCAGCGAACCTTCTGACAAAGTTTCAGGTTCGAAATGAGGAATCCCAAGATAATACATACTATATCCATAGATCATGAATCGGGGCTGACCTCCATTTCCGACTTACATAGTAAACCCACATTGCACCCTCCCATTCAATATTTTATAATGGACATGAGGTCTTTTTTAAGACCATGTTGATCAGCATGACCAAGAGCACCTTGTGTGAAAGTTTTAGGTTCGAGAGGGGCAATCTCAATATCAAGGATTTGGATGTACAGTATTCATGCATTTATACAAGGAGTCGACCTATTTAGTTTCCACTTCTTCCACTCTCAGCCTCTTCCCTCTTGTTCTCAATCTCAACTGTTGCCCCATTCAAATATACAACTACTATCTACGAACGATTGTCCTGCTTCAACCCATCATGTCTCAATCCTGCAATTGTCTTGATCCGAAAGCTTTTGATTCAATGTAAGTGCATGGCATACACAGCTTTCTTGTTACTCTTCTACAACACACGAGTCTCTTGACACACCACACCCTTTGCGCGCTTCCTGCTACGATCAAGTCGTAACAGCGATGGAAATGCAGCAGTTGCTATTAGCAAGGACTTGCTCCATTGATTCAAACAACTTATTCACAACCTTGTCCCTCTACTACAACACACGCTCTTGCACACTCCTCTGCCACCACCAAACGTAACAGCAGGTGGTATTTCATTGTCTCAGCTATTTGCAGCAACATGTCTTGCAGCCTTTTTTACGTGAACAGCCAATAGCCATTGTATAGAAGCAGCTTTATTTACGTGCAGCAACTTGCTTTGATACATACACATTCCAATGGGTGATTCCATATCAGCAATCAAGTACGCCGCAATACAAGCAATCTTCGCCTGGTTGAGTAGCAATGAAAATGACCAAGAGAAAGAGATGGATCCAACAGCAGGATGGGAAAGGATGCATGTCATCAGTGGCCACAAAGGCTCTTTATTATTGGACTTGCAATGTTTATGATGGATGGATGCATCAACTCCAGCGATGGGAAGTTTTGGAATATTACTTTTGGTTATTGATGCGTCCCCAGCAGGAAGTATGGATCGCAATCACAAGGATACGGCTGAGGATGACGATGATGGATTGGAAAGACCATTTTCGAAAGGTGCTGCACCTTATAGACTATATGGAATACTCGACTCAATGCATGCAGCAGCTATTTTGCAATCGTGGATGAGGGATGTTTATGATGCAGCAACCAAGAATTAGCGACACAATTACCCCTGTTGACTCATATGTGATTCACCTGTACCTTATTCAGGTGTAATGCTGTACCTTTATAACATTTATTTGATAAACATCCACACTTCCATTCGCTATT